AGGGCCACGCAGCAGCCTCGGCTGTTGCACGAATGGGCAGGCCCGTCCGGGTAAGTACCACGACCTCACAGAAGACCGGCGTAAAGTGGAAGTATGACAAATACTTTCGCGTTTCGTCTGGTGAGTGAGGTAGCCGGAGCCCAATTTTCAAAAGGTTGTCAACGCATCTGTAACCCTCGAGTGTAGCAGATGTCCATGGGCGGCGGTATTCACTTAACATCAGGTGAACCGTCTGCTCGTTTGACAACTTTTCGCATAAAAAAAAAAAAAAAAAAAGAAACAGCTCTATTTAACAGTTGAACGCTCCTGCGCTACTAGGTACTAAAATATTAGGCCACGAGTTAGCCCAAACATGAAAAACGTCAAAGTTTAAGTGTTTATATCAGCTTAGAAAATTCCTGTGCTGCAACAAAAGCCACTGTGTTGTTAAGCCAAAGCGAATATTGCAGTCAAGTAGTTTTTCGATGAACATGCTTTTATCAGCTACACGATTGTTGAGGTTAAGATTCCAGAGATAGTCATTTATTAATAGTAAAGTAACAGCCTATACATGTCCCACTGCTGGGCAAAGGCCTCCTCTATAGAGAGGGTATCAGGGCATAGTCCACCACGCGGCCCCACTGCGGGTTGGCAGACTTCACATATCTTCGAAATATATTTTTTTTGTCACGATGTTTTCCTTCACCGCGGAGCACGTGATAAGTCAGCACTTAAAGTTAAAAAACTTCATTGGTGCCGGCACCGGGGATCGAACTCAGGTTGCTCGAGTATATTGAATTAAAGGCGAGCGCCCGGACACTGAGCTATCACGGCTATATTTATTAATAGAATAATATATAAATACTAGCTTATCCGGCAAAAGTTGTTTTCCTATATAAAATATTATTGTTAACGCCCCCGCAACACCACTTGTATTTCGTAAAATTCTTAGCTGACCTCTACTCGGCGAAAGGAATATTCCTACCAAATTTCAAGTCTCTATGCCTTATGGTTCCAGAGATATCGTGATGAGTCAATTATCGGGGGAAACCTCTTATATATATATAGATAACACTAAATTCCAAGCTGTATAAAAAGAGTACAACTAAAGATAATCTTAAAGTCTCGACGTAAAAGCGAGCATCTTAATGCAACCTAAATGAGTTGTTTACAACTTTTCGGACGCTTTTGTGAAGCGCTTTATGTCAAAGCCGCAAGCACTGGAAGCCGATTTTTAATCTGTATTCGGTGCGGTATTACGCGGGCGAAATTTTTACGCGGGAGCAAACTACGCGGGCTTTGTGAGAGACCAAACAGATTAAACTGGGATTTAGGGATATTTCCTCTTACAGATGCAGGCGGTGTCTTAACACGAAGTCCTCCTCTATAGGGCCCGTATATATTCCGTTGCAAATATTTACATTTAATTTTCGCGTGTAACGTTCCGCTTTTCATACTTCCTTAAGCGGAATTTGATTAAGATTCAGAGTAACAAGGCTCGTTCATCCGTCGCTTTCAAATTTTACTGCATTCATCATATAGTTGGTTTAAATTTTTAAAGTGCTTATCTCTGCACTTAAAATGAAACATTAGAAATGGACGAAAAGTTCCTTGACGCGGTAGGAATCCAAAATCCAGGCCGAAAAAATACAATACAATTCAACCTTTGCCCTGTATTATTGTAGATGAATACCTACATAAAAACATACTGTCAATTTTAAAACGTGATAGGGCCACACAACGGTTTGTACTGTTGCACTATGGACCAGGCTTGTGCGGAGGAAGTTCTAAGGCCTCACAGAAGACCGATGTAAAGTGGAAGTATTATAATTTCGCGTTTTGTTTGGTGAGTGAGGTAACTATAGCCCATTTATTTTTAACGAAGTTTTCGGCGCATGTAAAAATCCCTTAGGTTTTGTAGATGTTCACTTGAGAGCTGGTATACACATCAAAACCGCCTGCTTGCTTGAATGTAACATACAAAAAAGTTTGTTACTACAATACACATACGCTTTTATATTTAGGCAGATTAATATTAAAAACTTGCTATTGTTATTTATTCCTTTCTATTAAAAGAACAAAACTGAGTTGCCAAAAGGATTGGTAAACTCTTTGAATTTATCATTCTGATTATTAAAAAGTTCATTCTTTGATTCTTTAGTTCTTCAGTTAAAAGAATAACATTGATACGATGTTATATTCTATTAGGGCCGTACGTAAACTTTCGTCGTAAATATACAGATGAAATTCAAATGAGCGCCGATTCTCTTTCCTGCGACAGCTATTTAGGAGCGCCACTATTCGCGGGCTTGTGTCGGTTTTAGTGTCGATACGCGAACCAATAAGTTTTTGGGGTGACGCGTTGCGGCATCCCAATAACACGGGGATCGCATTCCCAGCCGAGATGCGTGCGGTATTTTATCGTATAAGAGATTTGGTTCCATTGCGGACATATGTCAACGGTTAAATGCTATATGAAAGCTATTGCGCGATTCACCGTATCTTATAAAAGTATCTTTAAAAAGTATTAAGTTCAGTGTGGTAGGGTCACAAGAAAAAGAGTTCTGGCACAGGGTATAAATTTAAGTTATTTTTCTTTTGTAACACTAATAAAGTGTCATTTCTTATGTGCGTGTACATAATTACACACACATTTTTTTTTTCTTTTGCTTGCTAACCAATATTCGGCAACCAACTGCAGCTTTTGTAATATAAATGACTCAATTTTGTACATATACTTTGGGGAACAGTGTGAATCAGTTATGACTTTAGTACCTTGGAGAACGGTTACTCATTGATAGATGCACCTGGGATTCCAATCTGGCACCTCAGATCGGTGAGGTCTATTTTGAACCGGTTCGTATGATAAACTTCGAAAGATAAATTTGAGTTGCGTAATATCTATGACACTTAATCTGTATTCGACTGAATATGAGGTTTTGGCCAATTAGTATAAAAGTTTTCGAATCAGCCAAGCACCGAATAATAGCCGAACATTCGTTGCACGTTTAATATTCATAATTTATGAATAAAATAAATGACTTATGCAAACACAAGTAAATGAAAATACGAACAGGTAGGTCACGATGTCAAGAACACGCATAAATCAACATCTTTGTAAGGTAATTCTTGAGTTTCGAACTTCCAACCCTTGAGTCACAATGAACTGAGTCACTCGGCATAGAACTGGTAATTTCACTGTTGTCCTTCCATGCACCGAGTATAACGTATATGTTTTAATTTTTAACGTAACAATTTTTTTTATGTGAAAAGTTGTTAAGCGAGCAAGCGTTTCAATTGATGTTAAGTGATTGACGCCACCAGTGCATATCTGCAATTTCCTAGGGGTTGATTGAAATCCGTTACCTGTCTTGAATAATTCGGCTCTGGTTAACTCACGACGACTGCGTGACGCAGTTGCCAAGGCATTGGCTTCAGCGCCGTGGGTTCGATTCCCACACGAGACAACTATTTGTCCGCGTGAAATTTATGTAGCTAAAACGTCCTTACAGCACAGGATAATGTTAGATATAATAGTGATAGATAGTACAGTAAAGGGCCAATGTTTTCGAAGGGAAAACTACAACAGATATTTCTAGGTCGAATTGGTCATTGGTACCTGCCCGAACAAGCCTGTCCACTCATTTCATCCTATCACATTATCTATCGTTTTCTATTGGATTTAAAATATTTTTTTATGTGCGAGCAAGCGATTCACCTAATGTTAAGTGATAACCGCCGCCCATGGACATTTGCAACAAACGTAGGGTTGCAAATGCGTTGCGATCTATAAATAAAGTGGTTCCCGATCACTTCACTCATCAGACGAAACGCATAAGTGTAACATATCTACTTTACGCCGGTCTTCTGTGAGGTGGTGGTACTTACCCGGACGGACCTGCACATTTGTGCAACAGTGAACACTGTTGCGTGGCTCTACCACAAGAAATAAAATTGACGTGAAAATACTAATTATTCAATTTCTATTAAATTGCATTTCAAGCACCATAATCTCGCACATTCCAGTGTAGGGAAAAGCCGGCAAATGTTACTAGGGCCATAATCGGACTTCCAAGTTAATGAATTCATATAAGCCGTGAGGATACTCTTTACTTTTAAAGCTCAACAAATTCATTATAGAAAACTCAAACAGCTGAATACTCAAGCACGTGTTTAAATCGAAAGGGAAGATGGAGTCAAAGTACTGACAATATTACTGAGAAATACGAATCACCGATCTTTCCCCGCTATCGTATACTCTGTAAGCGGAGAAACAAAGACAGACAAAGGCAAAGGAAAATTGTGTCGGAAACGGATCTCGGTGTACCGACACGTCCCTACAGATTTTATTACGTAGGAGATGCGGCAAGTGCGCTTTATTAAGGAAACATTCCCCACGACTTAGGAGAATAAAATATATCTAGATTTTTTATACGCCCTCTTTACAACTACATAAATGTTTATACGCATAGATGCACGTATGAATGTAATATAATCTATATTTAACATTGATTGATATTTATCTTCACAAATTACGGCCTGATTGATTATTGATATTTGTTTATTGATTATGGTCATTCAATCGTAACTTCATTTTTCGGAACATTCGAGAGAGAGCTTTCGAAGCTCTTTTACAGTTGGCTTCCATATTTCCTAATAAGAAATTGTTTAAAAATCTTCAACCCCTTGAATCCTCAAAACCTTTGAATGAATGCAATAAATTCATAGGTAAAACCTCGAAAGAATCAACATCAGCTCATGAGTAAAAAGTAATAATTTTAATGAATTAAATAGCTAAAATGATTTCTCATAAAAGTTATCGATACATGAACTACATTATATTTAGTTTTCTATTTGACTTTGTGGAGTTTCCTGATGTAAAGCCTCGTCTTGTCCAAACAAACCTAGAGATAATTCATCCGACTTCCTATTTTTAAGTTTGTTGAAAAGCAATGCAAACTTAAATTTTGGACCCATGATTGGATTCGACTTGATTCTGAAGGCAACGCGTCTGTCCGCAGCAAGGAATGGTTGGCATTGTGCGCCGTGCTGGCAGTGGTGGCTGGCAGGGCGTTGGCAGCGCCCGCCCAGCTGTGCGCCGGCGCGGCCGAGGACGACCCCCGCGCCGCTCGATTCTGCCAGGCCCTGAACACCTTCCTCGAGCTATACGCAGAGGCGGCTGGCGAGCAAGTGCCGGAATACCAAGGTATCACATAGAACTAATCCTATCTCCAAATCTCCAGCAAGGAAGCACACATAGAACTAAACTCCTATCTCCAAATACTGATGATGATCCGAACGGCGTGGGAGTAGTGAATCTGCTCCTTGCGCCAGAGGGTGTGGGTCGATCCCCACCACTGGAAAAATATTGTGTGATGAACTTAGTGTTTTTCCAGTGTCTGGGTGTTTATATATGTATAATGTGTATTTATTTACAAAAGAAAAGTATGTTTAAGTATGTGTATCAGTTATCTAGTACCCATAGTACAAGCGTTGCTTAGTTTGGGACTAGAAAACGTGTAAAAATGTGTCCTAAAATATTTAATATTGTTTATTTTTATTACATAATCTATGTGCATACCCTATAAATGCATAAGAAAAAAGAAAATATCAGTAGGTAGTTCCACAATACGCCGGTCTTCTTACACGCTAAGATACTTCCCCGGTGGAGACGGTAGATCCATGCAGCAACATAAGCAGTTTCGTAGGTTCCATACAGACGCACTCGTCAAAATAATTGTACATATTACCGACAACGCCAAGACTTAAGGCCCATTTACATGGTGCCAGTTTCTTGCCTGTTGTATACAATTAAATTGAAGCAATAAATGAGTTGCATGGTCTAAACAACAAATGGTCTAAACAATTATTGCGCGCAATTTATTGCATTCAATTATTGCTCTTGTATGTTCAAGAAAATGGCATCGTGTAAATGGGCCTTTAGAGTAATTAAGAAATCCCAGTAGGTGACGCGATTCTCTCATATCCTTTGAGTAGATTATTTTATATTTTATATTTATTATTTTTTATTTTAGTTTTTAATACCTTGGTAGACCCTACTTATGCAGAGTACCGCATGTAGTCAAGCGTGTAATAACAAACCAGGGGATTGTCGACTACTGGCCGCCGTGTTGTTAGTCAATCAAGTTAGTTGTTAGTTGTTAGTCAAGTGAATCTTGTGTTCGCAGTGAGTTGTTTCGCTGCGCTATTTATTTATTTAGTTGCACCAACAGAGTAGACACCATGACAAGTTAAAAAAACAAGAAACCATAACACAAGATTGGTGCTACTCCAATTTTAGGTACAAACAACATACAAATCATCAACAGCGTTACAAATTAAGAATTGAATTGGAATAACAAATACGAAATAAATGAATCATTACTATAGGAATAAAAATATAACAAAGAAAAAATATTATTTAAATCTATGTATACAGGGAGCTTTTTTGAAGTAACCCAAATTTACACAGGAGGCTCAGACACGGTAGTATAATCGTTTATTGAAATAAAAAAACAAAGCTTTTTATTTCAATAAAAATGCCATTCTATTCCCTAAAAAACAGAACGTGTTGACAATGCGGTAGTCATTCATAAATACCAAAATTTTACCGTGCACGAACTTGTGTGCGTGCTAGTTATGAATGATCGCGCGTAAAATAAATGAGTTGCGATGATAAATGAATGTAATTAATCACTTACGAGTGATTCTAAATATTTATCATGTTTATATAACGTTATTTATGTCTAGACTTTAATAAAAAAAATGGATACTCTTAGAAAAGCCACCATGTGTATATATTATTTATATATTTAGTATATAGTCGCCAGTAGGCCCTTGCCTACTAGCGACTAGTAGACACACTGTCCTTACAGTGTGGTCGATATAACTAACACGTAACAACGCTCGCAGCTCTAGTGCGCGACTACCCTCAACTGCTGGACAGCGGGATGAAGCGGCAGGACGTGGTGCACTCATTTCTCCGCTTCGGCCGCCGGCGCTGACCTGACCGCAACGGCAACTGAATCGCAGCGAAGCCCGAAGCCCGAAGATCTCGCAAACGCATCGTTCCACACCCTGCGCCGCCATTCGTACTTTGTCCGTGACATTCGTTAAGTTCCTCGTATTTTAAGCAAGTTTATTCGTTATCGTTATCACGCCGCGCGACCTCGACTAGCGCGGACGCGCGGACCTCTCTCTCTAAATTTAATGAAGTGTTAAGGATAGATAAATTTTACTAAAAGTACTTATTGATCCGAGTATTAATAACTGTAAGTGATATAATTAGCATCGTTGTCAACATTTCGTCGTGTTTCGCTTGTATAAGCGAGAATATTCAATATTGTAAACGTTTTAAATAAATACGTATTTGTGAGAAGCTGCGAGATATTTTTACTTTTCTTCACTCCTACTCCCATATGATTTAAATAATTTGTTCAATAAGTACGTATATAAAATTTTTCAAATATCTAATTTCATGAGAACGTTTTTTCCCTGTTTTTGTCAAGTTCATACTTTACTTGCTCATGATCACTATAAGAGATCGAATGCTTTTTATCATCTGTCAAGGGAAATATCCTTCTGCAAGATCCAAGAGTGTACTAGCTGAACAGTAAATATGAGCGCTCTTACATGGGAAAAACAAACATTTGCTTCCAGATAACTTATAGTTAACTCAAAACATAAATGATCAAATAAGTCTGTGGGCACACCTCAATTCGCTCAAACCACTATAATTATCATGTTTGATATGAACACCAAATGTAATAAAATATGTAGAAAAAGTGCGAAAAGATTGTCGCCGCTGTGAGAATGGAACGTTGATCGTCTTCGACATTCGCGGCCTGACGCTTTAGCCACTAAGCTAAACGGCTGATTGTCACACCAATGTATACTTGTTTTAAGTTTAATGCTTTTGTTGTTATATGATATCTGCTTGATATCATTTACTTTTCGTATTGCTAAAGAGTGTTTTAAAAGCATTGCGACGTCGATATGGTCAAATGTTACTGGTGGCAGTTTATGCCAATCTTTCGCCACAAGTATCGATTGTGGATCCATTAGTTTAAAAAAAAAATAATCCTCTCTACATCATGTTTCTGTTTCTTGCCGTCAATATTTCGAAATATTCATCGATTGAACCTAACCGAAATTGAGAAAAACAAATTACATAACATTTATATTATTAGTGCATAAAATAGTAAGCAGCAGTATAAATAATGTAGAAGAACATGAAAAGAATTTCCCTTTGACTGGTTTTTGAAATAAAAGAACAATTCGTTTGATGATTATATTACTTTTAAAACACAGACAAACAGTATGCTGAAAAATCAAACGAGGATACAAACACACAATTTCCATTTATTACGATACTTAAAGACATATAAACATTGCTCATATCAACATGAAAATTCAAAAGGCGTCGTAAACATTTATTAGCGTATCTCATTTGTTGTAACACGACAAAATAAATAATAAGATGAACAGTAGTACTATAATATCGACAAATCGCGAAGATTTACGATTCCGCACACAAATGCACGAATCGACAATAAATTGTTTAATAAAACTGTTGATTTTATTGCATCCTAAAATATCAACGCTATAAAGTCCGAGAGGTCAAAAATCTAGAGTAAAATTGAACACGAATAAAAGCTGAACAGTTTCGTAGAATATTTTATATTATTTATTATACAAGAAATCTGCAATTATAACATAAAAAAATCATATTTCTGGTAATGGCTCGTATCTGCTCATTAAGCAATTGGATTACAAAGGAGAACAAACGAAGAAGTATGAAAAAATTTATAGATAAAAAGTTTACATAAAAGCCTGAATTTTTTTTAATCTTGAAACTATTTAATTAGTTAACAATTGAAAAAAAAAATACATAAAATGACATGAAACAATGTGGGGTCCCGCAGGGTTTAGAATTGGACCGCTAAATTACGATAAACATATAAACTAAAAAATTATTGATTAAATACTTATTTTCTAGAAAGAACAGAGTAGATTTGGAGTTAATTCTTACAGTTTATTTATGAACAAGGATTCATTTAGGATACTCACTTGTCGATTTGTCACAAAATTCAAAATGTTTTTTAAACAGCACCACTTTACACTTACGTAATATAATCTTTCTTTCTATATAAATGTACAAAACGATACAGTTGCTACGGAAGATAATATAAAAGCATCTATTCTACATAAGAGTAATTCAAAGCGTAGTCATGGTAAATACATTGAAATATCAGTTCAAATTGTGGCAAGAAATTAAGGAAATCCGTTCTGTTAAACCAAATTCTAACAATTTATAAAAATCAGTTAAATAACGGGTTACATTTCGAAATCAAGAATGGGTTAAAAAGATATTCAATTATACTTATTCGAAATACCTTAACTTTATCCATTTTTCCCAATTCTTTATTCACAAGTAAAGCGAGAAATCAGGATTGCGCTAATTGAGCATCACATACTTTTGGGGGTTTTTCTTTAGTTCCTTACGCTTGGCTAATTTCTCGACTTGCATTATCCCACCCATGTGGGTCTGTTAAAAGTCCTATCCAATATCAACTTACTAGCCAATAACAGTATGCGAGTCATTTTGTTATTCGCTAGGACTTTTTACGACCGGCCTAGTTGACATCAACCCTCCTTTAGAAAAAACACCCGATTATCCGTGGGTCGCACAAATACTTGTTCCGTGTGGGAATCGAACCCACAACCCCCGACACCGAAGGCAATAGTTTAACAACTGCAGCCGAGTCTGCTCTGCAAATAAATAGTAATCTTCGCTACCAGATAAGACGGGAGTCAACTTCTTTAGACCTCTAATAAATAAAATTTTCATATTAATTGATTTGATATGTCGGCTGAACTTTACAATAACCCTAACAACCATTCGTCACAAAGCATCTCAAATTGTAAATTAGATACAACAAATTGTCATGGTACATCTTAGGTAAACTATTTCCATATACAAATAACACTCATACATTCATTAGATTAACTAACGCAGACATCAAAATTCAATTAAGTTCAATTTAATTTACTAAAAGTATCAAAAGTAGCATTGATACATTTGCAGTTATAAAAGGTCGTAGAGGCGTCGATCTAGAAATACAAAGAGAGCAGAATAGTACGTACAATATACATTATGGTTATATCTAACTGTATATTCACAAAAGTATATAAGTACAAAAGTGAATGAATCAATAAGAAACAATAAATCAGTAATAGAGCAAACTGAATGATGGAATCTTTAGTTTTAATAAACTCCAAGTTTTGTAAAACTTCTACTTCCAATTGAACGAGAATTTTTTTCAGATTCGTAGCATACACAACTCTATTACATTGGCATAAGGAAAATGTTTAATTATCGATTCCCTATTCGATTTGTTTCTAGTCGGCCCTGACCCTAAGCTCTGTAACCCTTAATTGGTAAGGTCATCAATAAGTCACGTGGACGACATCACCGCCAACTGATAGAAGACACTGACCCTGGAATGGAACGGTGATTATAAAGCGATGAACACAATGTGAACGAGTATCTTCAACTAACTAGATAATGTTACTCTCATCATTTGTATGTCACCCCGATACCAACAATACACTGAACGTCCCTCTTTTATACAACGGTGGTAGGGCCACGCAGCAGCCTCGGCTGTTGCACGAATGGGCAGGCCCATCCGGGTTGATACCACGACCTCACAGAAGACCAGCGTAAAGTGGAAGTACGACAAATACTTTCGCGTTTCGTCTGGTGAGTGAGGTAGCCGGAGCCCAATTTTCAAAAGGTTGTCAACACATCTGTAACCCTCGGGTGTAGCAGATGTCCATGGGCGGCGGTATTCACTTACCATCAGGTGAACCGTCTGCTCGTTTGGCAACTGTTCACATAAAAAAAAAATACAGCGTGTCGTTACAACGGCGACAATAAATGAACACACGTCTAATGGTACTTGCCAATAATCATAAAAAAATATTAACGTTAAAAAATACATAGTTAAAAAACAATATTTTTCAAAAAAAATAATTAAGTAAAAAAGAAACAAAATTTGTAACATCCTATACAAAAACTGACTGATTCATATATTCAGACACTTTTTCATTCGGTGCCACAGCGTCGCATTACAAGCCTCTCCTTCTAACAGTATGTTTTGTCTCTTTAAAATTCATTCTACCCATTCATATGCTTTGTGACCTTTAGAAATGAACTTTACATTACAGTTTTATACGTAAGGGTGTTCTAAAATTCTTTGTTTTGGAAAATTTAATAACTCTGTAAATATTGATGTTTAAAGAATGTATTATAGTATTAATGTATTATATTGATGTTTAAAGAATGTATTTAAAACAATTGTAAAAAGTTATCTCCTATATGTGTGTTCATTTATTGTCGCGATTGTAAAGACACGCTGTATAAATGAAAGATTATGTCAAAGCAATGTAACACAATTTATCTTGAGAAAAAAAAATAACAAAAAAGAGGATACCTGCGGAGTTTCTTTTGCCTGTTTGTTCTCCGTTAGAGGAACCTCATTACGAAATGGTGGTAGATTTAAAAATGACTATCGATAAATGAAATGTGTATTTCTTATTTCGATGAATAAATGATTCGATTTTGATTTTTGATTTATCTTATAGAGAGAAATTTAAATCTTAAGGTCACAGAGGAGTTATTTCTTTTTAAAAATTCAATTAAAATCGATAATAAATATTAGGGACTGAGAATCGATAATCGAAACTGACTTTTTGGTTCAACCTTTACGCCTGGTTTCTGAAACACTGATCATCGTAGACAACTAGCTAGTTAGTCAACTAACCATTTGAAATCATGACGTAGATCATTCTGATCAATTCAGAGAGTTTAATAATCGTTTTGGCAGCTCAAATAACATTTAGAAAGGTATTTGACAGCTGGTTAGTTCACTTCTACGATGATAAGTGTTTCAGAAACCGGGCATTAATCAAGTCAAACTCTCACATGTCACCCGCACCATGATACAAACGAACAGACTTTTAGACTGAATATAAAATTATCTATAAAATTTAATATACTGTTAAATTTAAGTTATTATTTAGAAGTGTTAATATTCCTAAATCAAGGAAGAATGAAAGAAACTGCAAAGCAGAAATATTCGACGGTTGCTCGACAATCGTAAAATAAAGAATAAAGTTTTATGATCTCCGTACCTCAGAGGTAAACATCATTGTGACAAAACACAAATTTTACAGGAGGCAAAAATGCGTGAGCGAATCCTTGAATGCATTATTGATCATGATGTCATATACGATTGGATATTTTATTAAACAAGCATCGTAGGACTTAATGCTTTATACTATTGTGTTGAATTTGTTCTTTCGGTTTTAATGGTGCAAGAAAAATAATTTTGAAAAATGCTCACGGAGCTATTGCATGCCTCTGAGGTACAGATATAGACTTGCCGAAACGAAGCCGGGTGATCGAGCTAGGCAAAATAAGCACGGACCTGATTCTTGTGCGCGTTGTCCTGCAACATCAGCTGCGTAATGTAGAAGGATGTGAGCGCGTTGCCACCTAAAGCGGCGGTGTAGGCGCGTACTATCGCCAGCACCTGATGGGAGAAACGCTTCGTTTGATTGAAAGCTTCGTGATAACAGACAAACACATCGAAGATAAGTGAAGTCCGCCAATCCGCAGTGGGGTCGTGTGGTGGACTATGCCCTTGTACTCTCTACACAGAGGTATTCGACCCAACAAGTAACAAACATACGTATTACGTATATAGGTGGTATAAACTTGGTACGCCAGAGGACCACAGAAGACTGTAGAACAATTGACAGAGAATGGGCTGCTGTCGTGGTAGAAGCTTAAAAGTTCGCACTACGTTCGCACTGTAGTGTTCACCTCGCAGGCGAAGGTATGCATGTAGTAGACACAGGTTCTGTTGCTGTATGACTGAGGCTACATCCTCCAATCTCAAAGGAAGCTATAGGAGGAGGCAATCAGAGGACTGCAGAGTTCACCTCGCAGCCACATGAATGAGGCTCTATATCTTACAATCTCACAGAAGACGGGCATGCAGGAAGCTGGGGAAGGAAGCAAGCAGACGACTGTAGCTCTCACCTCGCAGGCGAAGGTGTGCAGGAAGCCGCTGAGGCCGCCCAGCTCGCGAATTCCTGTAGTCTCGCGGACGAAGAGCAGCCGAAGAGCGCACACGCGCCTCGAGCTGCCGCCCGCCACGACGCCCAGGCTCGTCAGCGACACCCTGGACGGGGCCTGGCCGGGACAGCGGGAAACCCCTCGTCAGACATTGGTTTTTTTTATTTAGAACTGCCCAGCACTTGACTGCCATCCCACTTGAAGGAAATGGCGATGCAGCCTTTGATGGTAGGCGCGCTAGCTCAGTAGAAACCTATTCGCTCTTGCCTTGAAGACGCCTATGTTGTAATCGGACGGAAAGACGGACGTTGGCAGGTTGCCGGACCATCGTGTTGCATCCATCGACTGCTGTGTGAAAAATTCTCGAACCGTAGTGTTCCATTCATCGACCACATCATCACAGCTCCGTCAACCATTGTCCAACCATCGTGTTGCATTCATCGACCGCTGCGTCAACCATTATCGAACCTAATGTTCCATTCATCGACCACTAATCATCACCACCACTGCGACAGCCATTGTCGAACCGCCTCCGTGTTACTGAGTGTTCTATTCATCGACCACAACTTCATCACCACCACTCCTTAGGCCGTTATCGAACCGTGATGTTAAATTTTCAACCGCTAAATGATCACAGCTCCGCCAACCATTGTCCAATAACTGTATTCCATTCTTCGACCGCTGCATCTTCACCACCATCAATCAATACCGAACCGTAGTGTTTCATTCATCAGTTTCTAAATCATGACCAACGCTCCGTCAACCATTGAGTTCCATTCACCAATCACTGCGTCATCACCACCACTGCTTCAACCATTGCCAAACCGACTCCGTATTACTCAGTTTCATTTATCAACCACAAATTCATCACCACCACTCCGTCAACCATTATTGAAACGTATTGTTTCATTCATCAGTCACTGCATCGTCACCACCACTGCCAATGTCGAACCGGTTCTGTGTTACCCAGTGATTTATTCATCAACCGTTGTATCATCACCCTCAGAACACGAATTGCTCGCCGTTTACTCATCATAACCACTCGATGAACCGCTCATGAACACAAGCATCTACCGTAAAATTTCATGATATATTATAAAATAGAAATAAAATTATGCATTCACACATCGCACAATCATTAAATTTTACAGTATCCTATAGAACAAATTGTCTTTTTTGTGTGATGAATTACAAACATCACATGAAACACAAAAATCGATTATACCTAGTTCAAAGTTATTACATTGTACAAATTGCTGCACCACTACTTATAAAGTAAAATAAGGTAATTCCGAATCGGTAATTCACGATCTTATCGATTTCTATGGAAAAGAGAGACTCGATAGAGAGGGGAGGGGCGCACCTGGCCGGCGCTGGGCCTGTCGTCGGCGACGGGCTCGGGCGGCTTCGCGAGCTGCTCCTCGTCCAGCGCGAAGATGTCGTCCTCCGGCTCGGGGCGGGCGGCGCCCAGCGCCTCGCCGCGCCCGGCCCCGGCCAGGGGGATGGCGGTGCCCGACACCACCAGCTGGATCTCGTCCTGCCACACGTCACCCTCATGACCCCCTCGACGGTGGAAAAGTAACCACCTGTACCAGGGCACAGTCTACCACGTGGCCCCATGGATTGGCGGAATTGATGTATCTTCATCGTCTAGAATATATGCAATGTTCCTCGCGATGTTTTCATCGCTGAACACGTGATATGCTCGGCGGTAAGCGGAGACGGAATCCTACTAGGCGTCCGATGGATCACCCTTTAGAACTGGTGGTATGCGATGGTGACTGGTGATGGTGGTGGTTGTAAAATTTTGACGTTTCATAAGAACGCGCAAGCGTCTATGTGAATAAAGATATTTCATTATTATTTATTATTATTAATGACGGGATCCCACTTCCACGGTGTATACGTTACATTTTCGCAATATTATATGCCAAGTATAATAAACTATTAAATACTGCTGTATCTCAATGCAATAATTGTTCGCGGTTTTAGCTGCCAAATCTTTCACTTCTAACTCAATAGTTACGAAGGTTAGTTACGAAGGTTAGTTAGAAGAAGGCATTCCATGCATGATTATTCTCATGCCCTTATCCCGCCAAGATGGGTTCGGCATAATATATAATCTCCTTTCAACTTTCATACCTATAAATAAGCAATGCAATGAGATAGCTCGATAAGCCCAATGTATGAATTAAATGTGTTTTATCACGTATCGTTAAGCTTTATGTAGCAACGCAATGCGTGCGTGTGTGATGGTGGTTTGCTAGGAGGACAAGTGTGATAGGTAGGGCCGGTGGGGCAGGTGGTGCGGATGGGGAGGAGAGGTGGGCAGGTGGGAAGGTGCAGAAGGTGTGGCAGATGTGGCTGGTGCGGAGGTAGGCAGGTGGAGCAGATGATGCGTACTTATAATCAAGCCATGCAATAACAACATAGCTCGATGAGCCCAATGTGTTAATTATATATGTTTTACCGCGTAACGATACAACGGTATGTGATGGCGGTTTTGTGGGGCAGGTCACGCGTCGTAAGCAAGCGACGCAGGGAGAAGGCTTGATGACTGTGTGGCGAAGTTCTCAAGGTATTTGGCTTCGGCTTCGGGGGTCGTGGGTTCGATCCCCGCACGGGACAACTATTTGTGCGACCCGCAGACAGCTTCGCATGTGGGTGTTCGTCCGCGTGAAATGTATGCTTGTGAAACGTCCTTACAGCACGGGCCATTGTTATCCTAAAGGGAAAGGTAAAAAAAAACCTAGGAACTGAAAGATGAATGACAACTCTCACCTCGGGCAGGTCGAGGTGGAAGTGGGGCGCGGCGAGCGCGGCCGGCTGCAGCCGGCGCAGCTTGTAGGCGGCGCCGGCCAGGGCGCGCGCCGCCAGCCGCTCGCCGCCGCACGCGCCCAGCCGAGTGCGCCACACCTGCGCACCTCCACTTGTTTTTCCCTCGCTAAAAATCCTCTATGAATCCCCCGCCACTGGATCGGGCAGGGGTGTTTTTTTTTTATTTAGAACTGGCCAGCACTTGACTGTCATCCCACCTGATTGTAAGTGGCGAAGCAGCATTTGATGGTAAGCGCGCTAGCTCGGTAGAAACCTATTCACTCTTGCCTTGAAGAGGCCTACGTTGTAATCGGACGGAGACGGACGCCGGCAGGTTGTTCCATTCCTTAGCTGTACGGATGATAAATGACGAGGCAAATCGTTTGGTTCTTGTTCGCCTAGTTGTTGCCTTGAACGCCTAGTTGTTGTAGATGATGGGTGTGTGGGAATCCCGGTGAGAAACGAGTACCCACTAAAAACACACGTTGCACCTGTCTCTCACACGTTGCATCGGCCGGGGACAAGGGACCCTGGATACGACATGTAGCCATCACCTACCGCACCTTCCACCTCGCACCGGTCTCCGACGCTCGTAACATACCGCTTGGGGCTCGGTCATAATGTACCGCTTGCACTATACAGCGGTCTTCTGCGAACCCTCGTTCCACGTTACAAGGCGACCTGGCGCCCAGACATCACCTACGACACCTTCCACTTCACGACGGTCTCCATCGCACGAGTTACTTGGTTGTGATGATTGGTCATCACCTACGACTTTTACGCACACCTGCCCCCTAATTCCACGTTACTCGGTGACTACCTGACGCTTATTCATCACCTACCACACCTTCAAAACGAATCATACATATCACTTCCACATCACACCGGCCTTCTGTAGGCCTTCGCTCAGTTTCCAGCTCACGTCGGTCTGTGACGCAATGTTCTCCCCGAGCCCTACCCATAAATGCTACGTAGCGAACAAAACTCCGTTATTACTTGACTCGCTCCTATGAAATGGAAATAGACAATGTAACGACAATTCGATTCTTAACATAAGAATTCTGTCTCGCTTCATATCCGAACTCGATCAGTATTCGAATATCTATACAAGTTTTTTTAGTCTAAATAATTGTTACTCTACTCTATAAAAATCCACCTATTACTTACAATCTTGACACTGACTTGAAAACTATAAATAAAAAAAAATGGTTAATATAATGAAAATTTTCACGACAATAACGACAAACAATAACGACTTTCTTCGATATATATGAGATAACAAACCTGTTGTCGAAAACCCAGTAAAACAGCAGAACAACATGGTATGCCCCTCAGGCTACAAGTCGTTGTCAACTGTTACGCGTTGTCAATTTGACCTTAGGGGAATAAATGAATCGAACTGTGGACCATTCGTCACCTGCATAAAAGCGTGAGGCGGAGCGCCCCTCGCGGCTCTTAAGCTCGGCGTATACACCTGCATGCCGCTGTGGCGTACCGCAAGGGATTTAGCTGTCTCCACCTGAATATAGATAAATGTTATTGCATATCATAAACTTTATTTTGAGTGTGAGTGCTGAATTGAGCAAAAAAAGGATCCCTATAAAATTTTCTTCATAAAAAATAGGGTACAATTATAGGAGTATGTTTTAATATTAAATTTATTATTACTTTTACCGTATTAGTAGACAATTAGATACAAACTTTACCATTATTTCATCATCTTTATTTCGTGTGACCAACGGTTGTTCCTGATCTGTGTGTTTGTGTCTACAAACTTCACGTCCTTAATACAGAAGGGTTTTCTACAACTATATCATTATATATTCATATATTTCACATATACACAAGACAATGTTATCCTGCAAGTGTACCGATATATAAAAAGAAAGAGACAGGGATGCACTCACGTCTTCCGCCTCGTCCAGCTCGAGGACGCAGGCGTCCTTGTCGGCGCTGAGCTCCAGGGCTGGTGGCTCCTCGGTCTCGGCCACCGTTCCGTTGCAGCCCTGCTCCGGGGGACCTGGCTCATTGGATATAGCAGGGTAAATTGAGGAGCCGACCACTAAGTCAAAAGTTTGACTTTGAATAAACTTGACTCATTTAATCCTCAAAGTTCAAAAACACAAAAGGCGGACTTAAAGCCTGCAAGCGTTCTCTACAAATCAACGCGTTGTGTGGTGTGAGCTTTTAGCAGGTACAAGCTGTAATTTCTATCCACCCAAAACCGCAAACTTCAAGTCAGCTCAAACAAAAGATACAAACAAAGATTTTGCTATTAACAAGCCCACTCATCATTACGTACATATACGGGATATAGATAATTTAAAAAAACATTTTAAGGATATGTATCAGAAATTTAGTTTGTACGGAACCTACATAGTCCTATTGTAAGATACAAAAAAAAATGAATAACTGATGATTCTGGGGCGCAGCTGTTATGCGATTATACGGTATTCGTAGGTTCGATTTCTACACCGAAAAGTATTTGTGAGACTCACAAACGCTCACAACGGATCTGGACGTTTGTTCACGTGAAGATCGTGTATCAAATGTATATCAAACATCCCACAACAGTTATTCTGAAGGGCCCTGTTATTCAACCATTTCTCTAGCTAATTTCTGTTTCTGTTTCTTAAAGAATATTAGATTTAGCAAAACATATTCTCACCCGCATCGTAACCGTTGGCAACTCGATTCGCGTGGAAGGCGTCCCACAACGCCCTCTGGATCTCCAGTGCGTTTTTGTCGCTTTCTGACGCCTGCTTAAGATAATAAATGTATATGATGATTTATTAACTATTTATACGCGGAGCCGTGATAGCTCAGTTTCCGGGCGCTCGATTTTAATTCAATATACTCGAGCAACCTGAGCCCAAAACCCGGTGCTGGCACCAACAGAGGAAGAGTTGTCATAGGGCCACGAAACAGTCTTCGCTATTGCACGAATGGGTGAATGAAAAGCACCACGATCTCACAGGAGACCGGCGTGAAGTGGAAGGGTCACACTTCTGCGTTGCGTCTGGTGAGTCATTAGCCGGGGCCCACTTTATTGAAAGGTGGCAACGCATCTGCAACCCCAAGGGTGTGGCAAAAGTCCATGGGCAGCGGTTACTTAAGTGATATCATGAAAATCCAGGTAAACCGCCAGCTCGTTTGACACATTCTCGTATAAAAAAGGAGAAGGAGTAAAAGAGGGGAAAGGATGAGAGAACGAGATGATGGATAGATAAAAATAAAAAGCAGTGTAGGAGAGGAAGGCCAAAGAGAGAGATATAATAGATAGAAGAACCTTGATGGTGGGTGGTGTTGGTGCTGGCAAGGCGGCCAGCCGTAGGGCAGTGCCACTGGCGAGCGCCATCACGCAACGCTCACCAATGGCGATTTGGGTCTGCAGTGAGAAGATCGCGTTCGCTCCCTACAGAAGGGTTTTTTACATTAGTAACGACTTCTAGAAGAGCCGGAGCCTAGTGACGTTATCGCCCTTACGTATTTGGGATGTGTAAAACTTGAATGCTCCAGGTATTCGCTGGGCCAGTTCTATGTTCTGCATAAAAGAACTTCGAAGCGAACGACGAAGTTATTCACGACTGTACAATAAGTGTTGCGGGAACGAGATGGATATTTATTTAAAGAAAGAAAGAAAATATATTTATTTACCAAAGAAAAAAGGACGTACACAACAAAAAAAAAAGGGAAAATAAACCTAAATTTAACAAAAAAATAAGAGAAATTAAAAAAAAAACTTATCAATAATATAATAAACCAAAACAACATAAATAGATACCTAATTAAAATATAAAACAGACGAAAAATAACTTGAGTAATCGAAAAGTATTTTGCGCCCTATTTCGGTAAATTAGGTACTTTAGCGTTTTAGAGCCCTAGACTAGACTTTCGCCAGCGAAATTTCTCGTATCTCATTGTGATGTCGCAACAACCTGGATGACCAGAATACCGATGCCGCGTTCTGAGACTGTGGATCTTGAAGCTGTAGATGATAAAGCGGACGTTTGTCCCGAAGCTCTAAAGCTGATGATGGTAAAGCGGAGGTCCGTCACCTGCATGCGCAGCTTGGCGAGCAACAGCTTGTGCAGCTCGTACTCGAGGAAGGGCAGCTGGTCGGAGATGTCGCGCGCGCCGGGCTCGGCCGCCGGCGGCGCCCGCCGCACGCGCGCCGCTGCGGCAGGCGACAGGCGACAGGGTTATCGTCGGTAAGGTTATCACTGGGCCTTTGCTAGGCTGTACGGGCTCGCCGCTACGGCAGGCGACAGGGTTATCGTCGGTAAGGTTATCACTGGGCCTTTGCTAGGCTGTACGGGCTCGCCGCTACGGCAGGCGACAGGGTTATCGTCGGTAAGGTTATCGTGGAGCCCTTGCTGAGCTGTTCTGGCTCAGCATACGTAGCTGAGCTCGCTTACGAGTGTCAGTTGGGACGAGGCTAACGAGCTGGTGTTTCGACCTGATGTTAAGCGATAACCACCGCCCATTGATTATTTTTATTTATGCGAAAAGTTGTCAAACGAGCAGATGGTTCAACTGATATTAAGTGAATACCGCCGCCCATGGACATCTGCCACACCCGAGGGTTACAGATGCGTTGACAACCTTTTGAAAATTGGGCTCCGGCTACCTCACTCGCCAGACGAAACGCGAAAGTATTTGTCATACTTCCACTTTACGCTGGTCTTCTGTGAGGCCGTGGTACTTACCCGGACGGGCCTGCCCATTCGTGCAACAGCCGAGGCTGCTGCGTGGCCCTACCACCGTTAGATTGCAACACGCCCTCACAAAGTTTGTCCCAGCTACCTCGCTCACTCTAAGCGTAGAAGTGTAACACTTCCACTTCACGCCGGTTTCTGTGAGATCGTGGTACTTCCTGGGCCTGCCCATTCGTGCAACAGCCGAGGCTGCTGCGTGGCCCTACCACCGTTAGATTGCAACACGCCCTCACAAAGTTTGTCCCAGCTACCTCGCTCACTCTAAGCGTAGAAGTGTAACACTTCCACTTCACGCCGGTTTCTGTGAGATCGTGGTACTTCCTGGGCCTGCCCATTCGTGCAACAGCCGAGGCTGCTGCGTGGCCCTACCACCGTTAGATTGCAACACGCCCTCACAAAGTTTGTCCCAGCTACCTCGCTCACTCTAAGCGTAGAAGTGTAACACTTCCACTTCACGCCGGTTTCTGTGAGATCGTGGTACTTCCTGGGCCTGCCCATTCGTGCAACAGCCGAGGCTGCTGCGTGGCCCTACCACCGTTAGATTGCAACACGCCCTCACAAAGTTTGTCCCAGCTACCTCGCTCACTCTAAGCGTAGAAGTGTAACACTTCCACTTCACGCCGGTTTCTGTGAGATCGTGGTACTTCCTGGGCCTGCCCATTCTTGCAACAGCGAACTGTCGCGCGATCTTTTGCGCGACCGCAGTTATGGGTTAAAAGGTAACTAAGACAAACAAATATTAAGTCAAAAAAATCAGTTTAGCTTAGTATTTAAAGCGTCTAGGCGCAAATCCCGAAGACAAAAGTTCGATTCCCACAACGACAAAAGACTTTTCGTACCTTTTTCTACACATTTAAATGTTTCATCTTAAGTGCAGAGATTTTTTTCGATTCCTATTTTAAATTACATTCATTTTTTTCTCATTTCAATTCTTACGTGATATTTGTGCTATTACATGGAATAGCGGTAATTTATAATACAAGCAAAACTTTATTTATTTAAACTTTTACACAAAAAATTAGCATTGTGTATAGGCCGGACTTAATGCCTAAGGAATTCTCTACCAGTCAACCTATGGGCGACGCAGAGACAAAAGAGGCAGGTGTAAAAAAATAACTTTACTTATATTATGATAATTCCAATCCATACAAAAAAATAAAAGCCATTGAAATAAACTCTTATAATTTTTTATTCTTTTTGTTTTACTCACCCACCGCAGTAAGAGTGACTGCCTTGGAGTAAGCGACCAGTCTGCTGGGCTTCGCACAGGTAGCCAGTAGAACTGTTGGCACGCGGGCTCGCCTGAAACAGTTTCAGATGAACACGAATCCTTACTAATCCTTACTTCCTCTCTATTATTATAAACGCGAAAGTTTGTATGTATGGATGGATGTTTGTTACCCTTTCACGCAAATGCTACTGAATGGATTTTACTGAAACTTTACAATAATATAGCTTACACATCAGAATAAGAGACAGCTAGCCAGTGGGGCCCACAAACAGCTGTGTCTATCGTCATGCCGTTGGAGTCCGCCAGTGGGGCCCACTATCCACCCATCACCCGGGGCAGTTCCTCACCTGCAGCCGCCGCAGGCCGCTAACTCGGCCCGATATGGCCCGACGCCTGGCGAATAGGGCACGTGGGCAGCGCAGCAGCTCTCCATCTCCAACTCCTCGATCACCGTCCTGCCGGCGCCCGCTGCGGAGGAATCGAGACCTGTCACGTTCACTATCACGCTCTCTTTTAATATTGGTGTAAACAGCAACCTAGTCTAGGATAACATCATCCTGTGTTGTGAGGACGTTTTTAATACGTTTCACATGAACAAACACCCAGTACAGAATACACACACACACACACACACACACACACACACACAAACCACACACAATAAACCAACACGATAAACAGTGTCAAGACAAGACCAACAGACATTTAACTAGCGAATTCACCACTGATTCAAAGTCAAGACAAAGTCAAAGTTGAGTTTACGCGAAAACAAAACTTACATATAATCTGATGTCGACTTGTTACAATCCGTAAATTAGTTAGATTTACCATAAAATTTACTTAATCTAGACTTGTAATACCTGTAATGGGCGTCTCTTCGTTTACAAAGTCGCAATCCAGGTTGATCACTGCTGCCGTTCCAGAGGCTGACAACACGCAGACGTCCTCCCTACGAATGCATTAACGTTTGCCGTTAAAGTTTGCACGTACGCACTAGGAGACGTCGATTAGTTGGACAAGTAATTCGGCTACTCTGACGATGGTTAAATGAAACTATCTGTATATAGATTTAATCGCGTTTGGAAAACAAAATAACACGCTATAAAGGCATGTGTAGTATTTGCATACTTGACTTGTAATATACGGTTTCTAAGGTTATTTTTTAGTTATAGTAGTTGTTTTTTTGTTTTTTACGACCGGCCGCCCGACTTACGTCAAAACTCCTTGGGAAACAAACACCCTGATCCGGAACAATTATCTGTTTGTCTGTGTCACACAAAAACCTGCCCCGAGTGGGAATCGAACCCGCGACCCTCCACGCCGTGGCCACATCTGTCGAGCGATACATCATTGAGCCAAAAATAGCAAGTTTCTTGCCGGTTCCTCTCCGTTCCATTCACATACAATAAAAGCTGAAAACAAGACTATATCGAATAAAGTGGAAATGAATCTCGACTGAGGTGCCGCTCACCTCACGGCCACCCGCTCGCAGTAGGCCAGCACCGCGTTGCACCGCAGCGCCCTCGCGTGGGCGCGCAGCTCCGTCCTGAGCTCCGCCCACCAGGCCGCCCTGGCCGCGCTCTCGCCCCCGCCGTCCACCAGCTTCACCGAGCGGGCGCACACCGTGCCCCCTGCGGGACCCCGACCCTCAGGACTTCACGAGAACCAGTGGGGGGACCCCGACCCTCAGGAATTCACGAGAACCAGCCGAGGGACCCCGACCCTCAGGAATTCACGAGAACCAGCCGAGGGACCCCAACCCTCAGGAATTCACGAGAACCAGCCGAGGGACCCCGACCCTCAGGAATTCACGAGAACCAGCCGAAGGACCCCGACCCTCAGGAATTCACGAGAACCAGCCGAGGGACCCCGACCCTCAGGAATTCACGAGAACCAGCCGAAGGACCCTGACCCTCAGGAATTCACGAGAACCAGCCGAGGGACCCCGGCCCTCAGGAATTCACGAGAACCAGCCGAGGGACCCCGACCCTCAGGAATTCACGAGAACCAGCCGAGGGACCCCGACCCTCAGGAATTCACGAGAACCAGCCGAAGGACCCTGACCCTCAGGAATTCACGATAACCAGCCGAGGATTCAGGAATTCACGAGAACCAGCCGAGGGACCCCGACCCTCAGGAATTCACGAGAACCAGCCGAAGGACCCTGACCCTCAGGAATTCACGAGAACCAGCCGAGGGACCCCGGCCCTCAGGAATTCACGAGAACCAGCCGAGGGACCCCGACCCTCAGGAATTCACGAGAACCAGCCGAGGGACCCCCGACCCTCAGGAATTCACGAGAACCAGCCGAAGGACCCTGACCCTCAGGAATTCACGAGAACCAGCCGAGGAACCCCGGCCCTCAGGAATTCACGAGAACCAGCCGAGGGACCCCGACCCTCAGGAATTCACGAGAACCAGCCGAGGGACGCCGTATCGATTTCGATATTCGATTATGTATCGATTATATACACGTTGCCCCGTGTGTTGAGTGGTTGAATTTATGTGCTGACTTGTCACGTGTCACGTGCTCAGCGAAGAAAGAAAACGTCGTGAGGAAACCGTATATAATAATTCTTTTTTTAAAGATGTGAAATTTACCAATTCGCAATGGCGATCTGACTTATTACGCTATTACCCTTTGGCGTCCACCTGCTTTGGACGTCCGATATACGGACGTCCAAAAATCTATAATAACAGCTGGTAATATACCAGCAATCGACGTACGTTTAGACATGGTAATAAAAATACAATGACGGGAGAAAATAAACATTAAAAATTTGTCATACCATCAACTATGATAAAATATATCTATGATAAAAGCATTATGCACATTTAAATTACACACGCCAAGTGAAAAAACTTTTCTTACCTATATGTACGATGAACCCGGGAGGGTACTCTGTCATCGTGAGGAACGGATACTCCAGCATATCCAAGTTATTGCTGTTCATGGACGGCCTTAGGATCGCACCGCCACCGCTTCCGGCGTTCCCCAAGGATGCATTCAATGAGCTCCCTGAATAATAACCACAGACTACATAGACACTTTTCAAAAACATAGTTTCATATCAAAACCATAGACATATTTTCGTAAACAGCATTTATGGAGGGCAGAAGTAAGGAGAGACGTCTTGTGTGGGGGGAAAGTTTCCAGCTGTATATTGAAGATAAAAGTTCAAGTACCTACCAGAATGGCGTTGGCGTACGATAAACTACGATATGAACTTGGCTGTTGTAGTAGTGAAGTGTACCGAGTATAAATATATAAAATTTTAATGACTTATTGAATTAATTAACTTGTATATGAATTATTGAATTAGCTGACCAAGTGTGGTAGGGACACGCAACGGTTTCTGCTGTTGAACGAATGGGCAGGTCCGTCTTCTGCGTTCCGTCTGGTGAGTGAGGTAGCCGGAGCCCACTTTTTTAAAGGTTGCCAACACATCAACAAGAACCTCAGTTGCTAGTAGATATCCATGGATATCTTGCTTGACAACTTTTCATATAAACAATAAAACGCCTATATTAGACGATGTTAAAGTAAACTTCGAATTTTATAAACTATGTATATAATAGAAACAGTTGTCCCTAATACAGTTTAATTAACAACAGCACCGTATCTTGAATGTGAAAAGTTAGCCTAGCGAGCAGATGGTTCTCCTGATGTTATGTGCATACCGCCGCCCATAGACATCTGCTACACCCGAGGGTTGCAGATGCGTTGTCAAGCTTTTGAAAATTCTATTAAATCTAGCAAAAGGTACGAGGCCAACACCAACCTTTAGGTGTGATGCTCAAATCGGAGTCTGAAGACCTTCTATGTATTCCCATCGGTATCGACGAAGCGTTCAACGAGGCGTTCGGCGCGGGCGTCGAGCCCGCCCCTGGCTCGCGACCGCCGTAGGATTCGTGACGAGCGTGACGCGGCGATCCTTTATCCTTGTCGCCCTTATCTCTATCCCGCTCGCTCCTGTCAAAACGGCACGCTGCATGCAAGTTACCACACGCGCTAGCACTGTTAGTGTCAACCGCACACTTATCGTCTACGCCATCTACGTCCAAACTCTCTGCGCGGTCCAAACTGCTCTCCGGCAGCGATGGTATGGTCTCTAATGGAGCGCCACTAAGTATGGGATGAAAGTGTTGCAACACCGGTGCGTTTGTTAACTTGCATGGAATGATGTGGTTAGGATCTAAATCATTGGACATTTCGGATGGCCGGCTAGTCTCGGTCGATTGTACACTGTCTTGTCTCACGAGTTTTTTCTTATCCTTGGCGGAGCTTTCGTTTTTATGCTCCTGTTTCGGCTCACATGGCTGTGGTTGTTGTAGTTTATCGATTTGTCTGGATATCTCGACTTTCTCCAATTTTTCGTGTACATCATCGAAGAATTTCTGATCTTTGTTCGGAACCGGATCGGGTGATGTCGGTATCAACAATGACGCTACTTTGTCTATCAATATAGTTTCCATTGCAGTGTGTACTAGGCCTGTTGCTTTAAGTGCCGGTCTATCTTTTCTAAGGGACAGTTGTTCTCGAAAGCTATGGTTCTTACTGTGATGCCCAGATGGACCACTAAATGATGTACGGGAGGCTGGTTCAGATCCGATGTACATCGAAACTTTAGCTATGCCAGTTTCATCGCTTTTATGGAGTCGAGTGCTTGCCTCGAATCCCTCTTTGTCAAGACTTAGCAGATCATTATAAGAAAGAAAAGGAGCACCTAAGACGGTTTCGCTTTGCGCTTTAAAAGTAACATCGGAAGCGGAACCCGGGTGACTCATAGCAGCTGTAGGATTGTCGTTATTTTTCTTAGGTCTTAGGGTATAGTGGGACAAGCTTTTTATCATACTACTTTTCGTAATCTTGGATAGTTGACGCTTTATTCGTTTTGAGGAACGGTACACAAAGCCTTTTTTATCTACTGGGGAGGAAGGTGCGCTAATACATTTGGAAGCATTTTTATGAGCAAAGGGGTTATTTAGTTTCATGTGACTACTTGATTGTGTTGCTACGCACTTTTTTTTGTCTTCATTATAAATCACATTTGAACTAGACACAACGTTTCCATTGCTTTTATCAAGTACAGTATCAATTTCATCGTTTCCTTTTATGTCCTTCGTTTCGTTTTGCTTCTCAGAATTAACATTCTGTAATACATCGCTCTTCTCGCGATTATTTGCCTCATCGATTGATGCATTCAAATTTTTATCTTCATTATTTTCTGTAGTAAATTTATTTTCGATACGCGAAGAAGGCTCCTTCTTATCAGTGGAAGGGGTTATGAAGTGAAGAAAGTTTTTTCTCCATCTGCGCAATAAATTCGGGATCTGCGTCGTGACTTAAAACAGATTGCACCACCGAACTAGTTGTCTCAACGGTTCTGTTTACATCGGTTTTCGTCTCGAAACTTTCATCGTCTCCATCCGAACTCGAGTACTCAGAGCTGCCCACAGATAGTGCGGACGAAATAGAACCATAAAAGTCGCCATCAGCAGGCAGCTTTAGGAGATTGTCGCTTCTTGCTACCGTGGGAGTGTTTGGACAAGATTCGGACAGTTTCCTCTGCCTCGTGTCGTCGTTGTTTTTATCTGTGCTTTTCACGTTTTCTAGAGAGGTGCAATGTATTTCCGGTATGTTCCTTTTGCTTCCACTCAACTCACTACTCATGGAAGCAAGATTTAGGTCCGCTCTAGTTTTTTCGTCGTCGGATACGTTTAAATTGGGCTCAGATTCACTAGTTCGTCTCATAGTTGAAGCGGGCGAATGTTCGGAGTCCAAGGATTCCGCGATACAGGCCAGGCTTGTCTGGGCATGTATCACCGATCTGGCCAGTATAGATGCCATACCTATACCCTCCTCTTCTTTGTTTATCACCTTGCATATTTTTGGCTTCTTAAGTCTTTTGAGTTTCTTAAACTCGTTTTTTATATCGCTTATGGATATCCGCGAGTTATCGGACGAGTTCGATTTCAATGACACCTGATCGTCTTGTTTTTCAGTTTTACGCGTCCTCGAGCCGGAGAAGCGCCTCGCGAAGAAACTGTTCTTTATCTTTTTTATCTTTTGAAACGGCCCAGAGCTATCGGAGTCGCAATCGCTGGCTCTGTTCAGCAATCTGTTGAGATCGGTCTGATCCTCGGACAGGTGTCTTAAGCTCTGTTGGGAGACGTACTCCTCTTGATATATGGAGCGATCACCCGCATAGTTTTTGGCGTTTGCCTCTTTGGTTAGCTCCACGCTTTTGTCGTCTTCGTCGATATTGTCCGGCTCGTCTAACAAGTACGGCGCTTTGGGGTTCAGGATATTGAGGAGCTTCAACAGCTCGTCCTGGTGACTCTGATAATATTCCGCCAGATCCGAGACACTCTCGTCGTCCGTGGCCAAAATGTCCAAGTATTTTTTTAGCTGCCTAGTTTTAGCCAACGTGAAACACACAACAAACCATGCAAACAAATATATCATGAGTATTTCTCTTAAATCAGTTGCTTAGTTCGAAACGTAAGAGGTTACCGTCAACCACGAGACAACATCGAGTGCACATGTAAAGCTAGCAGTTTAAACATGAAATATTTTAAGTGGTTTTATTATTTTATAAATTGACTTTATTATTAAAATATCTTAAATTATTTGCAAAGGAAAATTTAAAATATTGTCAAAGATACTATTAAACAGAAATAACATGTTAAATGTTTATTATGTGGGCTAAGATTATTGCAATTGTTGTCTTAAGGCAAATTATGTTAATCGTCAGAGTTAAAATAAAAATATCGTAATTTTTGAACTTTCTTTGTTCAGATTGCTTAGAGAGATGCTTATAATTAAATGGGGCCTTTCTTAAAGCACGTTTAGTTACTCACTGTTGAGAACACGGCGGCATATTTATGGGTTGGCTCGGTGTTGGCAGAGGGGTTATGCTGACGGCAGTGCCTGCGACGAAAATTTTTAAAACGTCAGTAGGAATTAGTCGAGATTCTATCGAACGGCCATTATATAGAACTCTACAACTTACAAACTTATCTATTGCAGCACTACTAAAAATTTACGATAGTAGAGTATCCATGTAAAGTAACAAAGTAAATGACAGCCTATATTTGTCCCATGGTTAGGCAAAGGCCTAGTCTGTTTAGAGGTTATTAGGGCATAACTAACCCTACTGCGTTTGGCAGACTTCGAATACCAGCGAGTTTTTTTTTATTATTTCCAAAAAAATCCAGGTTTCCTCGCAATATTCTAGTGAAAATCTTCGAATATTCTAGATTTTACAAGGTCGTTGCCTACTAAGTCCCCCTTATCTAGATGCATTAAGAGAAGTACCGGGATACCCTTAAAAAAGCGCCGGTGCTCAACCACACTTCGTGGAAACAGGAAGGATAAGTCTTGGACAATTTCCTGACACCGCCCATGGCGAAAGGTAGGGCATTCCCAAGCCATAAAAGCTCCAGACTAAAGGACTGATCTGTGGGCGTACCGTGTAGGAAGTAGGAGACAAAACATTTGCTCTTACTTTTAGCGTCAAAAATCTATAATTGTCGAAGCTATTCGCTTTCGCGCATTCGTGGACTCGATTCCCACACGGTAAAAGTATTTGTGTGACACACAGGTAATTGTTCCAGATCTGGGTGTTTGTTCCAAAGGAACAAAAAGTAATGATGATGAACTAACTAATAACGTTACTGTCATTACTTTATAATACACAAAGCCGTATCAATATTAGATAAATCACTTCATTGACCATGAAAAATCAACATCGTTTCATCTACTCTTTATTGGAGCAATCAATGTTTTGCGACGAAATTCACAATCCAAAAGTGTATACCGATAGCCCTCGCCACAACTCCCGCCTCCCCCTCCAAGTCGAAGTCCTGCTGGTATCCCACCACAGCGTTGGCACCGAGTTCAGCCGCCTTCAAGCCCACCAGACGTTGCACCTTTAAAGAGACGTTCATTCCGACTCTGAAACTAGCTAATAGTTTGATCGCAATTGAGCATTGACAAGAGATGGGCAAATATAATAAGTTTTTTCTCACATAAAAATTATGAGTATATGAAGCAATGCTTGGCGCATCCATCGTTATATCCTTTCCAGCACACAAACAATTTCGAATATCGTTTTACATACGATAATTCGGACATTGTTATTTAGAATTAAATACAAGGAATTATTACGCGTAAAAACAAATTTTACCTCATTATAAACTACTAGCTGCTGCCCGCGACTACGTCTGCGTAGAACAGGCTGAAGGCGTAACATTAAGACAGAAAGACAGATATACATAAAATATGTATATAAATTATAGCCTATGTCTTATTCTGATGTATAAGCTAAATTATTGTAAAGTTTCATTAAAATCCATTCAGTAGTACTTGCGTGGAAGAGTAACAAACATCCATCCATACATACAAACATTCGCGTTTATAATATTAGTAAACTATTATTGATTACAGTGACTTTTGTATAGAATGGCTATACAAAAGTTACTTCCAAAGTGTGGATCGACCTGGCCTACCACGGGTGCTCACCTGATTGCTCAGCTTGATGAAGGCGACCTGCCTGGCCTCGTTCGATGCCCTGGGCGTGCGGATCTTGTCGATCCACTGGTACTCTGGGTCGTCGTTCACAATCAGCTCCTCGACGAAGCCGTGGATGGCGGTGGCCCTGTACCCTGGCGGTATCATCGGACCTGGGGCCAAGGTTTCAACAATAATATCATACTATATTTTTTCTAAAGCCTTGCTATCACTCTTGGATAACATTACCCTGTGTTGTAAGGACGTTTTGCAAACATAAACTTCACGCGGACAAACGCCCAGGTGTGAAACAACTATCTGTGGGTCGCACAAATAGCTGTCCCGTGTGGGAATCGAACCCACGAACCCCGACGGCGAAGCTAATGCCTTGGCAATTTCGCGCACTATGCGACTATGCGAAATAACCGTTGTCTATCATACAGGCAAGAATAGTGTACTACAAACCACCACAGCCCTCAGGAAAGGGAGCGAAATTTATATCTCTTCAGTGTCGCTGCGAGTTAGCTTTCTGATTATAAGCTAGCTAATAAAGCATCTCTAAACGTCTTAAATTCGTTAGGTCGGTACTAGCTGACGCTACCGATATACAATAAATTACCAAATAGAAAACTGTAAATTTAAAATTGTTCAAGCGAAATCTGTTTAACTTACCGATAAGTAAATGCTAGTATTCCACAGGGGATTATATAAATGATAAAAATTTATAAAAAACACTATTCTAAATTATATTTTCTTTTGTTTTTTATTCTTTGCATATATTTAATGTAAAATGTAATATTTGTACACCAGAAATGGTAGAAGATAAGGGACGATATAACTGATAAGACCTACATTATACCATGTTCTAACAAATAGACGCGTCTTTCTTTCTTTATTTCTTACCCATGTTTTATCCAGAAATGGTAGAAGATAAGGGACGATATAACTGATAAGACCTACATTGTACCATGTTCTAACAAATAGACGCATCTTTCTTTCTTTATTTCTTACCCATGTTACCGTTGAATCCCCTGAGAAATAACTAAAGCCACAACAGTTAAAAGGCACTTCACACTTACAGTGGAAGAACTGGACGCCGCAGCTGGACGTCTTATACTTATTGAAGTCTGAGAACAGCTCCACCTTGACGATGACGTTGAGCTCGCCTCTGATGCCGTGCATCGTGTCGAAGACCGGGATCCAGCCGGACATCACAGCACCTGAGCGGAACCCTCTTCGCTATTTAGACACATTCGCACCGCCTTTAACCGATTACGGGACAGTGAAACTGACGCCCGGTTTCTGAAACACCGATCATCGTAGATGTCAACTAATCAGCTTTCAAACAGTTTTTCAAATTTCATTTAGTTGCGAAAAGGATGGTTAAACTCTCTGAATTAGCCATCAATTGTTTTGGCAATTAGTTGACATCTACGATGATCAGTGAACCGGGCGTAAGTGTACAGTATGCAGTGTGACAAAATGATCATGTCTTAAGCGAACTTTGCATTGGGACCGCGTGGTGGAATATGCCCAATACCCTCTGTACAGTGAAGGCCTTTGCGGGACATATATAGGCTGGTACGTTAAAAACTGGCAAACTGGTATCTAATACCAATTTGCAAGTTTTCAGCAGATGGTTCACCTGATGTCAAGCGATTAACGCCACCGATTGGTAAATAATATACTAATAAAGTGGGCCCCGGCTAACTCGCTCAACAGGCGGAACGCAGAAGTACACTTCCACGCCGGTCTTCTGTGAGTTCGTGGCACTTACCCGGCCGGACCTGCCCCTTGGTGCAACAGCAGAAACAGCTGTGCCCATATCATAACAGTGCCCGTTAGCCCAGCTAATCAATAATACCTCCAGGAGGGCCGCCCGTTCCCTTCGCATTGTTGGCTTCCCTGGCCAGCAGCGGCGCCAGGCTGATCACAACCTTTCCAATTGCGTCGTTCGCAGAATATGTGTCGTGGTCCATCAACCTGAGCTGGAGCGGCTCGTCTTGAAGCTCCGATTCGTCCACCTGAAGTTCACACTCTCGGTTATGATAGTAACAATTATAAAAAATCGCTTGTCTTTTTTTATTCGTTTCACTCTTGAATTCGTACGCCTAGGGTTCCGTAACTACCCATTATACCTCCATAGTAAAACGCCATAATAAACTTGGTAAATAATCACCACCGATTTTATCAGCAACGGGTGGATCTAGTCAGTTGAAATTTATACCAGATACTGAGGTCTATAGTCCCCATTAGATGTATAAAAGTCAAATTCCTGAGAGTTAACACGATAAAAAGATATGGGCAAATTTAGATTATCGCGAAAACTTTAAGTACCAAAATTCTTTTTTCCGGAGTTTTTTTATTATTTATGCTGTAAGACCTAACTTTTTTCCAAATTTCATGATTCTATAACAAAACTGTAAAGTATAAACTATAAAACTACAAATTTAAAAAGTTACGGAAACCTTCGTGCGCGATATACTCGCACTTAGCCGGTTATTTTAAAACATCATCGAAGCAAATTATCTTTTTCATGTAGTCTAATTGCACTAGGACGTTATTGCATTAAATAAACCAGATGTGTAGTAAATATGTGTCGGTTATTCAAATATTTCACGGCATCGAATCGAACTTTGCAAAAGAGCATCTAATAACATTCAACGATAGACTTATAGAAACTCAAATAGATACTCTATTTTCTATATCTATCTTCTACATACCGTGTTTCGACAGTGTAATAAAACAAAATTGACAGGGACATATATATTAGACGAAGTTTGATATAAAATTACGTCGTCATTGTCAAAAGCATTTGATAAACGCGAGAACAATGACACGCTCTGATACAAAATTCGGAAAGTGTTCACGATAAACGAAATGTAAAAAATTTGACACGTGAAATATTTATCGTAAATCTTGCAAAAGTATGCGGTAGCTTAAAAATTATCATGCATTAAAAACTTACATTTTACAGTTAACTTAAATGAAACTATTTTCTATTTTCGGGTACGTAAATACAGGAAATGTAAAATATTTTCATTTATACTTATATTGCAACATAATAACAACTCAACTAAATAAACTTGAGCGTATTCAAAATTTTGCCATTAGGTTCATATTTGGTTTACGCAAATATGATCACGTTTCCGAATTTCGTTCAATGCTCAAGTGGTTACCCATTCGTTTTCGCCGGAATCAACACACTGTCTCTCTTCTGTTCTGTGTATTATTTAACCCTAGGACTCCAAGCTATTTAAAGGAACACTTTAAGTTTCTTGGCCATAACCATCCAGAACGAGTTCTGCGATCAGCTGAAGATCTAATTCTAGCACCACATGCGTACAAAACTAAATATTATAAGAACTCCTTTACAGTTAAGGCCATCTGCTTGTGGAATGAACTTCCTCAGCAAATTCGTCGTTCGAAGACGCTAGACAAGTTTAAAATTGACGTAAAACAACATTATCTATCGCTTTGTAATCCATAGTTTTTAATGGCAATATTCAGATTTAATTCTTCTTCGTATTTATTTATATATATATATTATATTTATGTTTATGTATGATTATTATAATTTTGTTTATCTTATTATATTTAAGTCTATTTCGGTATTAAGTAAGTTTATTGAGCACACCACCTCCCACTATTCATTAGTTTATTTTTCCTCGTCCTAAGGTTGTCTGGAAAGGATCGCTTTTTAGCGATAAGACCGCCTTATTGTACCTAGCTTTTAAGACTTATTTCATACTAATTGTATCAAATTCTTTGTTGTGTACAATAAAGTATATAATAATAATAATATATAATAATAATAATTGATATAATTGCGTTTTACTTAAAATATGATTTTATAAACTTCTGCACTGAAACAAAGCAATGTTAAATGCTGAAGTTTATACAAATAAATAGTGAATCTAATATATTTGAATTTATATAATATTATTTGAAGATTAATACAAAAAAGGCGACATATTCACTAAAGCACGTAAAAACGTTTCAGGGTTGTTTATATTTTATAATTTTCGTCAAACATTTATAAAGTTTGGCTAAAGTTACAGTTCGGTGCTGCAGCAGTGTATTAAAAAAGAAAAATAATCGAGTCCAAGGCAAACAAAATAAAATAAACAAAAGCTTCCATGTCGCGGACCATAGGTTTGATTATTTGTTATCAAACCTATAAATTCTTTAGTAACACTTTTTGTTTATTATTTATTATATATATTATATATTAGTAACACCTATAAATTCCTGGCACTGTCAACACTGACAATATGACTAAAAAATATTATTTTTATTAAAAAAAAAAAAAAAAAATAATATATATTATATTATTAATATAGATAATAATATTATAAATATATATATATACATATATATATATAATCGGAATCTCGGAAACGGCTCCAGCGATTTTCATGAAATTTAGTATGTGCGTAGATTTAGGGGCGAAAAATCGATCTGGCTAGGTTTCATTTTTAGAAAATGTCCTTTTATGCCTGTTTTCAGGGAATGAAAAATATCATCCGAATACGACGGTAAATTTCGGCGCAAAAGAATGTTATAATAGCTCGGTCGGTAATCGGACGGCCCCAAAACAGACGGCCGCGGTTCGTATCACGATCATTTACACACTTATTATTTTTTTCTTTTTTTCTATACCAGATCATTTTCTTTATTTTATTTTATTTCCAAAATACTTGATTTACAAAAAAAACCGAGCCAAGCGCCTCCAGGTACTATTTATTTAAGGGCTTCAACGCGGAGCCGCGGGCGAAAAGCTAGTATAATATAAATATATCCGATTGAAACACTGAAATAGCTTTGATGTGTTCCGAAACGTTTCCAAGCTCGATGTCGGTAGTTTCGACGTTATTTCGGTGTCCACGTCTGCTCGGCGTCTGGCGCGAATGTTTATTTATCGCTGTGACGGACGTCCGCCATCAAATTGGAGGACTCTATCGGGGAATTGTCAATTGTTTAAGTAAACACATCTTTCGTACTTTTTCTACATGTTTTAATGTTCAATCTTAAGTGCAGAGATTAGCACTATAAAAAACTTTAAAATTTATAAAAGCAATGGCGACATCTCTCGTTCGAATTATCGTTGTAAAACGATATTCGAAATTGTTTGTATGCTGGAAAGGATATAACATAGATGCGCCAAGCATTGCTTCAAATGCTAAATAACAATGTAGAATGAAGGCGTTAAGATTTTCGTCGCTGTGGCTATCAGCCGTTTAGCTCAGTGGCTAGAGTGTCAAGCCGCGAATGCCGAAGACGTGGGTTCGATTCCCACAGCGGCGACAATCTTTTCGTACTTTTTCTACATGTTTTAATGTTCAATCTTAAGTGCAGAGATTAGCACTATAAAAAACTTTAAAATTCTATATAGTTTGTTTATACATCTGAATGATGTAAAAATGTTACCACTACAGTGCCATTGGCCTTCGTCGTTTTCAACAGTTGGTTGTGAAAAATTATTTATAGGTGCTACAATTTATTGGCCGATGACCGATATTAAGACCTTAGAAGCTCTTAATTTTTTTTATATATTTTTTTTTGACTCCTAACAATTGGTAAAATCTACAGCGTGTCGTTACCATCGCGACAATAAATGAACACACATATAGGGGATAACTTTTTAAAGTTGTATTAAACATTTAAATTCTTTAAACATCAATATTTACAGAGTTATTAAATTTTCCAAAAGAAAGAATTTTAGAACATCCTTACCTATAAAAGCGTAACGTAAAGTTCATTTGTAAAGGTCACAAAGCATATGAATGGGTTGAATGAATTTAAGAGAGACAAAACATACTGTTAGAAGGAGAGGCTTGTAATACGACGCTGTGGCGAGAGTTGTATAGGATGTTATAATTTTGTTCCTTTTTTACTTGATTAGTTTGTTTGAAAAAATTTTTTTTTAATTATGGATTTTGTTTAAGGTTAATATTTTTTTATGATTATTGGCACGTAGCGTTAGACGTGTGTTCATTTATTGTCGCGATGGTAACGACACGCTGTATATGGTTGCTGTCTAAAAAATTTGAAGTAACAATCAAAATAAATGGAGATAAACTACAATTTCATAAATATTTAATGCTTCAAAAGGGAATTAAAAAGGACTGCAGCAAACCCTACAAAATAAATTATTTCAAACCTGAAATCTGTAGTAAATGGAAACTAGGTCAAATTTTTTCGTTATAAGGGATCAACCACAATACATCCCTCGGTGGACATTGTCACAACACTATGTCCTGGAAATGTCCTGGAACTACTAGGGGTTGGGCTGATAATAAATCATTAATTTTATTTGTTAGCAAGTAGCGTTATACGCAACTGGGTGTTGATTCATAATGATATTGCTTTATTTCATTATTATATAATATAGTCCACCAATCCGCAGTTGGGCCAAATGGTGAACTATGCCCAACTACCCTCTGTACAGAGGAGGCCATTTGTCCAGCAGTGGACATATATAGGCTGATACTTTATATAATTTTTTATTCCTGATTCATCAAATATTCATTAATATGATGTTCAGGGTCCCAACCTGAGTATGCTTATTTTGAAGTTTTGTAGGAATTGACAGGGCTTCAAAAATCTTTACTAAACCCGTATGTGTATATATTGCAACAGATTTTACAGGTAAAACATTGTGGATGCCAGTGATATCTTTAAATTATTTTTTCAAATATTATTTTCATTTTCATCATATAGTTTGAAGACTTAAAACTAAAAATAAAATATTAACTCAACTAATAGCCAAAAAAAAAAATTTTGCTAAACATAATGTTGAGAATTTCTCTTCTTAAATTTCAATAACTTAATAAGAAGAAAAGTTCAATTAGTATTTAGTATGAAAGAAAGAAATACCGATTTCATGCACATTTCCAAGACTGCAAAGCATTCGAAACATGGGCTGTTTTAGTATTAAAATTACCATATTAGTTATAACACTCATGAGAATAAAAGAAGTTATAATGGACTATGCTCATGTAAACAATGAATTTTGAAAAACTAACAAAAATTAGATGAAATATTGCACTCACAGTATTAAATAAAAATTATAACTATCTATTTCACACCAAATATACCTTGATAAATTAAATAGTGTTCAGAAAACAAATAAAGACTTAGAACTTAGAATTTGAACCTGGAACTAAGTTTTGTTGTAGTTTAGAGAGGTATGAATGCTTTAAGAATGAAATATGCAGTAATGCAGCGTTGCCTAGTTATAAGAGATCTGTGTTACATATCTATATTGTATAAAGCTAGGCTTCAAAACAGTTACCTCAAACCTGTACCATTCAGTACTATTCCAATGTGGATTCAATGACTTCCGACATACATCCGTCTTGTGTGTGACACCACCAAATTTGATCTCAACGAAGGCATCAGTGGTATCGCTTGCTCGATCCATCACCGGCAAGTTACGACCAGCTAGAACCTTGACTTTTATTTTCCCAGGCATTTTAACTATATTTATACAATCACTTGGCGGTTAAACAGCGAACACCCTGCAGAATCGTTCTAAACATAACACATACAGTCCTCTTTCACATAAAATTAGCATGTCCGTACCATCTAATCAGAAAAAAAAATAACGATTACGATCTTATCAACTTCACAAGGTATACAGTCATGATTGGATAGTATTTCGAAAGGCAAATGTTCTATGAATAAAACTGCAGTCTTTTTCTCTTTTTCGATATGGGTATGATATAAAATATCAAATAACACAAATAACCGGCTCTGTAGCGCACGTAAACATTTCAAAATCACGACGCATATTCTATGCGTACAATGTTTTGTGATACAAACACTGCTCCTTTAAGCGCCTCTACTAAAATGTTACGTTACTTTAAGAAAATTTTAGAGGAGTTTATAAATAGAATTGAGATATTTTAAAAATAATATATAGACCGAGGAGACACTTTCACATCTGTCAAAGTGACAACCAAAATCAGGTGTTTTAACTTTGTCTGTATAATCTATGGCAAAGGGCACCGGATACAAAACAATAAACATATATCTATACAATAATTAATTTGTAATAAAAATGTCATTATATCTAGCCAAATTGATTAGACAAATAAAGCAAAAATATGCATAATCCTTACTGTTTAATGTGCATCGATAACCTATTCAACTTGTAGTAGCAAGTGGTTTAAAAGTAGTGTTTGACTGAACTTAGTGGTGAGATTATTTTTCAAATAACCCACTCATCCTCTCCATTTTTACAAATCATCTTTAGTTACAAATCTATGTCCTTCATTAAAGTCCATAAATTATTTTCCTCAAGGTATTTTACCGTACGTAAACTCTTCTGCACATGCACCGGCCGTGTGATTCCCAAGCCCCTTAGAAGTACAAACCATATAATGTAATATGTGATTTTTAATGTAAAAGAATAAAACTAGCATCATACCATCAACTTGCATCCTGTCAGTATACGGCACATCCAGTCAGTTCGGGGAATTATTGTACTTCTGCGCGCAAGAGGAAACAGGTACATAACAATCTAATATACAGAGTGTCGTTACAAACGCGACAATAAATGAACACACATCTAACGCTACTTGCGAATAATCATAAAAAATATACACTTTATAAAAATCCATATTTAAAAAGAAATATTTTTCAAACAAACTAAGTAAATAAAAAAAGAAACAAAATTTGTAACACCTATAAAAGTACAACTGACTGATTCATACATTCAGAGACTTTCATTCGTTGCCACAGCGTCGCATTAAAAGCCTCTCCTTCTAACAGTATGTTTTGTCTCTTATAAATTCATTCAACCCAGTCACATTCTTTGTGACCTTTATAAATGAACGTTACGTTAGTTTTTTTAGGTAAGGTGTTCTAAAATTCTTTGTGTTGGAAAATGTAATAACTCGGTAAATATTGATGTTAAAAGAATGTAAATGTTTAATACAAGCTTAAAAAGTTACCTCTATATATGTGTCCATTAATTGTCGCGTTAGTAACGACACGCTGTATAAAATTCTCGTGTCACGGTGTTTGTAATTGAACTCCTCCGAATCGGCTCGACCGATTTTCGTGAAATTTTGTGTGCATATCGGCCAGGGTGGAGAATCGAACAACATCTATTTTTCATCTCCCTAAATGTTAAGGGTGGTCCACCCCAAACATTTTTTTCTACCCTACAAATAATTTATATGGCAAAACGTTTGCCGGGTCAGCTAGTTCTTCTATAATAAAATAATAATACCGAAAGAAAAAGATAAATTTCATTTATTATTATCAAATTTTAACAGTCTTCATGTTGTAAGTATAGATTATGAATTAACATTAGGCATATCATTTGGCAGGTTTATTAGAATACAATTAATAAAAATACATAGTTTATACAGATTATATATTATCATATTAATGCCACTCTATTTCACGACGATGTTTGCCACATAATAAATACTAATATGACCTTCATTTTAATAAACAATCTAAAGGCAGATTTCAACTTCGAAATACATATTATTCTAAAAATAAAATAGTGTAACCAGCACAATATGCGTGATAATGTATGTTAAACATTTATTTTATTTAATTGTACAGCAATATGTCAAGAATTTGGGTACTAGCCCCATATTATTATTTCTTTTTCCTTGCTGTGAAATCAATTTAATAAACAAATCAACATTGTACTCTTAACTTCCCTTAACAATATATTAAGTTTTAGTAACACATCAAATGTTATCTTTAATTTTCTCTAACATTTTCCCAATATTCTGGCTACCAGCAGTATTTGGCTTTTTCAGTTTGTGCTTGGCGGATAATCTTGGTATAAGACCTTTCATGACAGGCTTAGTATTAGGCACTGGGAATAAGTTTGGCTTTGAGTGTCCACCCAAACCATCATAAGAAACATCCAACTCTGAGACTTGCTCATACTTTTCAAAGTCCACCAGCGCGGATTCTTTTTTGTGGAATATACTGTGTTTCTGTGCAATGGTTGAACTGTTTGTTTTCTTAAATAGTGAAGACTTAGCAGAATTGAGGAGTGCAAATTCTGATGGCTGAAAAGATAGGAAAAACTTCATAAACACATTTTATTTTTACATTAAAAAAGTATTCAAATGACTAAAAACACACTTGATGGCGTCTTTTCATATATCCGTAAATTTATTGTATGATGTAGGAGAAATATCTTAAAAGGCTTCTCTAGGTAGTCTTTTAGTTTCATAAAATGTACCATTTACATTACTATTGTATAAGCGATGCAATGGAATGGCCCAATGGTAATAGTAATAATAGTAATAATGTGTTGATTTTCAAAATAAATAGATTCAATTCGCAGCTTCAAAAATAGATATTTCTAAATTTGCAAACAATCAGATCCATGTTTTCATTGAAATGGTAAAAAAAATTTCTTTTAATGAATTGAAATTATAGCCAGCTAAAAAACCGTTAAGTATTCTGCCTCTTACATATTTGATTTCGCTTATCTATCACATAAAGTGAATTCATTGCTTACCTTGAGACTTTTGTCAGGGACATTAGGATGTCTTTGCTGTAATGCAGCAAGTGCCAAGTTGCTTTGCTTCAGTCTCAAGTAAGGGGAATCTGACGTTTCAATTGAGTTCACCAGGGTGGTCTGAAAAAAAAAACGGATATTAAAGGAAAAATTTTTTAGCTTTCTTAAGCGAGAACAATATTTACATTACAAATGCATCTACAAAATATTCTAATTTATCTTTCGTTTGAGAGTGATTGTGTGTTACTCAGACCTCTTTAATGCTCTCAGACAAGAGAAAAGAATAGATTAAACCAAGCAAATGAAAATAATCTTTACCCCACAAGAAGCTAAGATCACTATCATTAAAAAGCCTCGCGCAGTTAAGTTCTTCTTGTAATAGGCTGTCCATCATGAGGTAAGATTTTTGGTATTGCCAGTGCCAGCATGATTTTGTGTATTTTAATTTTGGCAGACGAGTAATCTAAAGCATGGGAACATTAATAATATTAAAATTGATTTATTTAAAATCTTACCTTGACCCTACATGCGGAAACATCAACATTAAACCATTCTAAGGTTATAAAACTATATACTTAAATTACAAGAAATATTAAACATATTTAATTATCAAAATTTTCTACCATTAAACATCTAAAAATGTATAAATCAATTACATAAATCTTTTGTTCGAAGGACGGCTGTTTATTTCTTACATAGCCTATATCCTAAATTGCCTTGTAAATCCAAGATTTTTGGATTCCCGCCAGTGCCTTATGCCACAATAGAAAGTTGTGAGTTTTTTGCATGCAATGTACATGAGTAGGATAAAATAAAATACTCACAAAACTAGTGTTGTTGGCAGTGGCGGGCACAGGTGACTCTAGCCTCTGTAGTTTGATCGGTGCCAAGGATTCCACACTCTTAGTGTTGCCGCCAAATGCCTCCACAGCATTTCTTTTCTTCTCCTGCGATTTCTCTCTGTGATATTCAGCAATTTGCTCCTCAGCTGACCTTTTTGATCATTACAAAGTGCCCATTGAAAGATTTTATTAACAATGAAAACTCAATCTATGATTTCAAAATGTTCATTTTATTAAATAAAATATATATAACTATCTATACAGATAAATAAAATTGGAGTGTCTGTTTGTAATATTAAAATAACCGCTTTTTACTAAATGCACGGTACATGTTCCAAAATACTAAATTTTACAATTTTTGTCTGTCCGTCTGTCTGTTTGTTCCGGCTAATCTCTGAAACGGCTGGACCAATTTTGACGGGACTTTCACTGGTTGATAGATGATGTAATAAGGAGTAACTTAGGCTACTTTTATTTTAGATTTTTTTTGTTTTAAATTCCACGCGGACGAAGTCGCGGGCACAGCTAGTATGAAATAAAGGTATTCATCTCATAATCTAACTAAGCGATATGATTATGAACGCGCTTATTCGTTCAACTCAAATATCTGTATTAGAGACAACAGTCATAGAGATGAGTGTTCATTATTTTGATGTCAAAAGAATGTTACCCTTGAAACCATGTAACAGAGGATGACTTTTTGTATTCCACCCTTTTTTTTTTCATATCATAAATAATAAAATTAAAAATTTTACGTTTTGTTAGAGATCAAAGAAATTCCATATCAAGTACATGCTTATTCCGAAACAAGACCATGTGCAAGGAAGGAGTCAGAGGTATAATCCAATATGATAAATCATTTAATTATGTATGATTATAATCCATACACATTTGATAAAACTCAATGTTTATAGCTTACCGTAATTTATTCTGCAAATCAGAAACAGTATTCTTTTCAGCTGCGAGTTGTTGCTTGACCAACTGGAGCCGATCTCTTGATTCGTTCTTCTTTGATTCTGATTCGCAGAGTGCCCTTTAAAGAAATTGATTTAATGTAAGGAATCATAATTGTACTATATTGCATTTATTTATTTTTAATATACTATACTATATTGCATTCGAGCATAACAAAATATTTAATAATTAAAGATATTAAGACATGTAACAACTAATTCTGTCCCGTGACCATGAATACTGGAACGGGTTTGAAACGTAGTGAATTACAACTAGTTTCATTAAATAAGTTAATTATAAATTTCCACATATACAAGGTGGCAGTTAACCTGGTGCAAATGATTACAGCAGTCCCTGGACGATCATCTATCTACGATATAATCATCATGACCATCATCACAATGATCCAATTCATGGGGGTTCTGTGGAAGATATGTCTATTTGTGTAAGACAGAAGCTGCTGTTTACTTGAAGTGATGCCTAAGGTTTGAAAGGCCATAGTAATTTCTCATATTGCCTGCCAGAAATACTTTAAAAATCTGAATCTTTGTAGATAAATCGCCAACAACATTCACGACTGTGAGTTCGGAGTAACGCCACACAGTGTATTATGTAAAGTTTTGACTGTTTAGGCTTGTTGAATAGTACAGAATAAATCTATATATTAATATGTGAACTAAAAACTTTGTACCCCTTTTCACGAAAATTGCAAGGATGGAGTATGAAATTTCCCACACTTATAGTTTATACAGAAAAGGAGTGCAGAATGCTAATATTTAATTTAATTATACATAAAAAATACGTTAAATCAATAGAGAAAACATTACACACCACTGCAATTTATTGACACACACATATACAGGGAGGCATTTTTTTTAATTAAATTCTAGAAATAAACAACGTTATATAAAAAATTATAAATATTTAAAATCACTCGTAATTAATTAATTACATTCATTTGAACTTATCTCAAAAAGTGCGTGATTTATGGGCAACTCATTTATTTTACGCTCGATCTTTCATAACTAACACGCACACAAGTTCGTTTCAAAAGTATACGACGCATATATGAATGACTACCGCATTGTAAACAAATGCTGCTTTTTACGGAATAGAATTGTTGAAAAAAAAGTTTTTATTAAAATATGTAGAAAAAGTACGAAAAGATTGCCGCCGCTGTGGGAATCGAACCCACGTCTTCGGCATTCGCGGCCTGACGCTCTAGCCACTGAGCTAAACGGCTGATTGCCACACCGACGAAAATCTTAACGTCCTATGTTTCCCAACCTACATTGTTTCTTAGTATTTGAAGCTATATTTTTTATTCTATTTTTTTTTCTACATATTAATCATTTAATGAACAATCTTAAGTGAGATTAGCACTTTAAAAAATTTAAATTACTAAAAAAGTTTTTATTTCAATAAACGATTATACTACCGAGTCTGAACTTTCTGTGTGAATTTGGGCACCTTTCGACCCTGTCCTGCCACCCTGTATATATATACAGGGTGGCTTTTGTAGAGTATTCTTTTCTTTATTTTGTATTGTATTTGAGAATAGATTAATATTGTTCAAACAAAATTAATTATGGTCGAATTTCGACCACTGGGCGTCGACTAATAAACATTAATTCTTCAAACATTCAGGTTATTGATCACCTTTTCAAAGCTGTGGCAAATGTTGCAATAGTCCTGACATCTGAATAGCCTTGCAGCATCATCTCCACTTCTTCACTTGTTGCATTCAAAACTTTCTGTAACCTGAAATATTATTTGTCTGTTTTTAAATTGATAGATATGGAAGATAAGAAGGAATCAAAGTAATATCTATTTTTGGAATTCAAAGAAGTGCTGATTTATCACATGCTCAACGTTGGAGGAATATGTAGTGAGGAGTACTTAAAAATATCCATTTTTTATTTTTATGTGAGAAGGTAGCAAGTGAGCTGGCAGTTCACCATTCACCTGATTGTTAAGTGATAACCATCGCTCATAGTCATTTGCACCACCCGTAGGGTTGCAGATGCTTTGCCACTTTTTAATAAATTGGGCTCTGGTCACCTCACTTAACAGACGAAACGGAGAAGTATAACACTCCCACTTCACGCCGCCGATCTTCTGTGAGGTCATGGTACTTCCCTAGACATGGGAGATCCATCCACCTCACAGTCCAACAGCGAAGACTGCCACTAACACATGTAATAAATATTGACTGAAAATATCTCAAGTATGCCAATTGGGCTGTATAGGATGTTATCCCTGAACACTTACTGCTGCAAAGACAGTTTGCCAAAGATAACATATAAATTTTTTTTTTGTGTGAAATGTTGTCAAGTGAGTAGATGGTTCACCTGAAGTTAAGCGAATACCGCCACCCATGGACATCTGCTACATCAGAGGGTTACAGATGTGTTGACAACCTTTTGAAAATTGGGCTCCGGCCACCTAACCAACCAGAAGAAACATGAAAGCATTATACTTCCACTTAACGTTGGTCCTCTGTGAGGTTGTGGTACTTAAAAAGCCCAGACGAGCCTGCCCATTTGTTTTTTTTTTTTTGTTTTTTATTTGTGCAACAGCCGAGCTGCTGCGTGGTTCTACCACTGTCATTAATAAAAAATTGTTTGTATTTCTTAAGAGTTTTACCCGTTCATTGTCTGAATGTTCTTCTTAAGGCTTTCATTTTCATCTTTCAAGCGTTGCGTCTCTCTATTTTGTATTTTCACATACTCAAGTTGTTCTTTCAATGCGGCCACTGCAGAATCACGAACAACTAGCTTTTTCTCACAAATTCTTAAGAGTTCTCTGAAAGTAAAATCTAATTGTGTTATAGTGAATACTTTCGCAATAAGATAAAAAATATAATTGAATAAGAACATTTTTATGTTTCTTATTTTGATATATATATTGTTTCATATGTACAAAAAATACTTATTAAAATTAATATAATAAACACAAAATTAGTGTCATTTATTATGTTTCCACAATATTAATTAAATGTAATATTTTAGATACATATTATATATCATGCAGATAAATGGTCGATCCAGAGGCCAGAGGCATAGCATACATCAACAGCGTCAGCAAATATTTACTTAAGGGTATTTGTATTTTGTGTAGAATGGGTCGGGTAGTGAGTCCGAGCAACCACTGTTACCTAGAAAGGTCCATTGTAGTCTGCCCTTCAAAACCCTTTCCCCCTTATTGTAGGATAACATTATCTTGTGCTGCAAGGATGTTTTACATAAATAAATTGCACATGGAACAACACCCAGATCCGAAACAATTGTTGTCTCATTTGGGAATGTAATGGGAATCAAAAATCCACAACCTCCAACGCAAATTCCTGGCCCACAGAGTCATGTACTCACTTGAGGGTATACAACAATGTCATAATTCTAAATACAATGAAATATACTTACTCATTCTTTTTTAACTCAGCATCAATCACAGCTAGTTTTTCCTCTTTCTCCTTGGATAACATCTTTTGTTCACGTAATTGCAACTGGGCATTGTCTAGTCTTGATTGTAAGGTAGTAACATCATCAACCGTAGACTCATTTGATATGGTAGGATAAAGTCGGAACATACACCGATCCGTTACTTTGTTCCGACATTGTGGACATGACTTAGACCTGAAGAAAATTTTAAATGATGTTTAACTCATCAAATATTTGATACAAGCAATTGTATATTAGAAAGTATACATATGTAGATGTGGGGCTCAAACAGGCTGAAATGATGATAATGACATATTTAGATAAAATAACTTTTTGCAGGGTGGATAACCAGGTTTTTATTGTTGGGGATTATTTAAAAGATCAACATTAAAAGTAATTTGCTTACACTGCACAAATATTATTAAGATTATTCATATCCTAAATACCTCGCAATCCATTTTGCTAGACAGTGATGATGAAAAACGTGGCCACATTTCGTCACATATATGCTCTCCGCTTGATTAACTAAATCACTGCATATTGTGCATAAAATATGCATTTTACCTGAAACACAAATCTAGTTGTGGAACATTGGAATAGACGCGTTAGTTTGTTTTAGAGTTTTATAACTCTCAATTCTTTTCTAGTATTAAAATCTGTTTTATGTCGTTAAAAGCAAATTGTCTAAATTTTTAAAAGATAATTTACTGATAAATAAATAAGGTAGACAAAAATATAACCTACCCCTTGTAATCGAACATCTATAAGTAAAATGATAATGAATGATATACTGTTTCTTATTTTTTAAGTATATTTCATAATATTGAACTTATCGATACATAAGATGAATGAAAAACTTAATAACATTTATTTTTAATTAATAGAAACGTTCACGCTCAGGAGTCTCAGGACTGTAAACAAGATATTAGTTAGACATAGTGACATAGATAAGTAGAAGTGGGCGATACAAATCGTATCAGATATGAAAACTAGATATTAGTACAATATCCGAATATCGCTTACTGGCTCGTTCAATATCTATGTATTTTATATTATCTGATATTTTCGAAATCTGATGTAACGTGCTCGCTCGCTATACCGACACGAAACGCGATATCATACGCGTTTGCCACAATATCTGATTTTTAAACAGATTTCGAGAGACAAAGCGAGTGAGATAAAAAAAATACTCACTAGTTAGAGCGGGACGGCAAGCAATGCACGATATCAGATATCGAGCGACAAGCGCGTGAGATATAAATACTCACTAGTTAGAGCGGGACGGCAAGCAATGCACAATATCAGATATCGAGTGACAAAGCGCGTGAGATATAAATACTCACTAGTTAGAGCGGGACGGCAAGCAATGCACGATATCAGATATCGAGCGACAAAGCGCGTGAGATATAAATACTCACTAGTTAGAGCGGGACGGCAAGCAATGCACGATATCAGATTTTTAAACAGATTTCGAGCGATAAAGCGCGTGAGATATAAATACTCACTAGTTAGAGCGGGACGGCAAGCAATGCACGATATCAGATTTTTAAACAGATTTTGAGCGACAAAGCACGTGAGATACAAATATTACACTAGTTAGAGCAGTACGGCAAGCAAGGCACAATATCAGATTTTTAAACAGATATTATGAATAAGTTAAATAATTTTGAATCTTAAAACCATGCAGATAAGATCCGTTTCAATTAAATACTAATCATGGTATCAACGATTACTACAACGATATTTTTAAATATATTTTTATTGTTTTGTTTAGCCTTGAGCCGTAACGGGCGACAAAGCGCGCAGTTAAGTAATTTTGAATCTTAACAGCATGGAAAGAAACATTTTTAGTTGCATTTAAATACGAATTACGGTATTAACGATGTCTTTAAATTTTGTTTAACCTTGAGTTGGATTGCATTGGTACCTAGCACGTAATAGTAAGGGATGCCAACTTACTACTTAAGAATTTTCTGCCTAAATTAAGGAAGAAAAATATAAATGGAAATTTTTTAGGAGGTTAATTTTTTGTGAATATTTTTATTAGTTAAATTTTATTCATATTTTTGTAAAAAAATAAAACTACACACAAAAAAAAATATAATAATATAGTGCTGTGCTGCTTGGGTGGAAATCAGACCAAGGTTTATGTGCTTTGTGTGTATATTTTAAATTCTTCCGCCCTAAGTTATAATACTGAATGTATTATTTCTTACACAAATTATGAAAATATTGTCACTCATGATTGCGTGTTCTAAGAATATGTTAATGTCAACTATTAAGCGATATATAAGATGTTAAAATAAATCATTTTTATATTACTTCAATTTCTATTTTTAATTAAATTTTTAATTTAATCAGGTAATGTTTTAATTTTACCTGAATAGTATAAAAAATCGTGATTTTAAATTCAGTAAGTTTTTTGAATTTAGTCAATTGTAGTGGGTTTTCGAATTTATTTAGAAGTATTCTTTTTGAACAGTTGGTATCACGTCGAACAAGACTTTCGAGGAATAAAGTCAAACAGCTTACGTTCCTAAACGTGAATTGAAACCCGGAGGAATCTAAATAATTAATAATTATGAACCCACACATAATTGTAAATATATAATGTTAAGTTTTAAATATCAGGAAAATTATGTACATAGAATGAATCAACTTTTAAATACGCCTGCACAATTTTTTTTTTATTTTATTTTTTTTTTAGAATTCAAGGTGGATACGGGACCGTAAAATATCTAGATATTAAAATACATAGTTTCGAAATCTGATATTTGAAATCGAAATCTGATTCAGATACGGTACTCAGAAAAAGCGATACGACCCATCTCTATAGATAAGACATATATACTGAAATTAGATATGACAAATCACAGACACAGAATGTGATTGTACCACAGATGCGTTATGACTTACAACAGTTAATATCTCTTTATTACAATTAATTTAAAATATGCAGTATAAAAGGTAGAGTTACAATTATTGGATCGTATTTTGTTATAGTCTAGTTTGTGTTGATTGGTAATCTCAGATTATACATACTCTTTTGATGTCAACTCTGACCTATTTGATTTATGTCTTATGTTTGAATTACTTTAAATTTGGAATGTTAGTTTTATTTCTTTAGACTGAATTGTGTCATATTTGATTAATTCCTACTATCTGACATAACTCCTGTATCTTATCTTATCTTATCCTTTAAACAAGCAATTCTTGTATATATATATATATATGTATAATCGGAATCTCGGAAACGGCTCCAGCGATTTTCATGAAATTTAGTATGTGCGTAGATTCGGGGGCGAAAAACCGATCTAGCTAGGTTTCATTTTTAGAAAATGTCCTTTTATCCCTGTTTTCAGGGAATGAAAAATATAATTCGAATATGACGGTAAATTTCGCCGCAAGAGAAAATTTCATAATAGCTTGGTCGGTAATCGGGCGGCCGCAAAACAGACGGCCGTGGTTCGCGTCACGATCATACACATTTATTTTTTTACTTTTTTTTCGATTCCAGATCATTGCTTTCTTTATTTTTAATTTTTTGTCGATTTGTTATTTTGTAATTTTTTTTTAAAGTTCTTTCTTTTGTGAAATACATCAGTTCATATTTTCTTAATATTACGTCGATAAGATCGAAAAATATTATGCATATTTCATTACTCAGTAATTTGTATCTAAATGTAATTTCCAAAATACATGATTTACCAAAAAAAAACAAACCGAGCAAAGCTCGGTCCTCCGGGTACTTTTATATAAATTTCATAATCATTACGTTTGGTCTAAAATAAGTTCAAAATGTTAGTTGAAATAAATAGTTTTCCTATTAGTCCTTAAATGTCTTTTTGGGTTGAAAGCGATCCCATGAGCCGTGGATGTGGCATTCAAGAGTTTGATCCTCGCATTATTATAGTCTTGTTGCCGGGAAGCAAGAACAGCTTTTTAATAAAGCTTGCTTTGTACGGTCAGAGTGCCTCGAAGCTGAAATTGGGCCCCAGTCATCTAACTCACCAGACGAAAGAAATTCAAAGGAATTCAACATTGTGACCCGGGTGGGAAATTCAACTTTTTACGACTTCAACATTTTGGGAATCAACATTTTGCGAAGTCAACATTTTAGGAATTCAACATTTTGCAAATTCAACATTGTGGTCCTGAAGGGAATAATACTTCCACTTCACACTAGTTTTCTGTAAGGCCGTGGTACTTTACCGGAAGAGCCTGCCCATTTTTGCAACAGCAGAAGCTGTTGCGTGGCGTCACTAAAATCTACTGCGGTGTATGTGTGTAGTGTTACAAGAAAAGCAAAATTATTTATGGTTTTGCTTTTCTTGAACTAGAAGATTGGAAACGCACGTTGTCACACTATTATTTTTTATGAAACAAACTATCAGCTGTAGTAGAGTCACGATGCATCGTCTATTGATGCACGAAGTGTCAGGCTCATTCGAAAAAAAGCTATGGCCTCTCAGATGACTGATGTAAAACAGAAATGTTAGTTCCGTTGCATTTTGTTTTGTGATTAAGCTAGCCGGGATAAGCCAGGATAGAGTCGGCGGTGAGAGCCAACAACGCCGTCTCAAAACACTTTCGCCCTGGAAAAGGAATTCGGCAGGGCTGCATCTTGTCTCTTCTGTTCTTTAATATATATGGGGAAAACCAAAATCCAGATCGTAGATAGAGCAAAACAACCTACTCCGAGTAGAAAACTCGCTAATCTTGAAGTAGTAAAGCAGTTCGTCTACCTTGGGTCTATGATGAGTGACGAAGAGGGAAGCGAGAAGCAAGGCTGAGAATGCGATGAGTAAGCTCATGGAGATCTGGCAAGATAGAAAGATCTAAAACTAAAATGGGATTTGTACGTACTTTAGTTTTCCCTATTTTCCTTTATCTATCCTGAATCGTGGATGCTCGGTGCATCTGAGAGGAAAAAGATTGACGCCTTCGAAATCTGATGGGGGCACCGCATGCTTCGCATACCATAGACGGCAAAAAGAATCAACAAGTCGATTCTCAAGCAGCTGAAAGTAGTCATACACGACCATCAAAAATATATTTCTCAGGAGCATACTCAATTTCTTCCATCACGTTGCCAGAAGAGGCTCAGTAAGTCTGGGAATAATTGCGATGTTAGGCAGAGTAGAGAGGAAAAGATCTGGAGGACAAGATGAAGACAGGGGCGGAGGCTTCAAACTTTTGTTCATAAATGGTTTTCATAAAATTATTATCTACAATTCCGACTCTGTGGCGCAATTGTCAAGGCTTCGACGTCGGGGGTCGTGGGTTCCATTACTACACGGGAAAACTATTTGTCAAATTTCGGTGTTTGTCCACGTGATATTTATGTTCATAAAACATCCTTATAATACAGGATAATGTTATCCTATAGTATGGCAATGTTTTTAAAAAAATATATTTGTCATAACCTAGTTGTAAATTAGCAATTTACTTAATTTCCGTTGGAAATCGTTACACACAGGTATGTTTCGTGATTAAATCGTAATTTCAACCTTATTACTTTCTCTGGGTGGGTAGGTTCAATCTACTATGTACTATCGATAATGGTCCAAGCAGAGAGGGCCCATTGGATCATGCCGCAACCAGGGGAGTGCTATCTGAGGAGAGTGGACGGTGTCCGTTGTTGTGACAGTTGTTCTCCTAAGTCCGCGTGTCATCTGCATATGTGAACCTCTTCCAACGAAACTATTGAATCCACGTTCTATGAAATATCGAAAAACTTTATCTTTAGAATTTTAACATTCGTTTTAAAACGTTTCATTTAATTAATTTTTAAAACTCCACACGCGGGTAAAATTTAGTTTAAAAATCTATTAACAAAATCTCTGACGACGGAGTAAAGTAAAAGGCGTAATTTAAAAACGGAATGATTTTATTCCAATGAGTAATAATAATATTTCAGACACATGACGAATGTAATGACAAACTGGTAAATATACTTAAAAATAAGATTTACTCAAGTTTTTCTGTTAGAAGTTCAAATAAAATTCTGTTAGCAGGCAATAATTTATTATTGATCTTGTTCTGTTTCTAATTCATCCATTTTCTTTCTCGCTGACTTTAGTTCCTCCAAAAGAGTTTTCATTAGTAATTTATCGACCAACAAGTCGGTGACTTTCTGCTCCCCTGTGAACATCTCATCTGAGTAGAGGGTGATTTTAACTAAATCCACTGTCCCTTCTGGACCCGGTGCGGTTGTGATGTCAGTTAATTTGTTTACTGAAATGACAAAAATGTAGGACCATGAATAAAGCCATCTAATTGATAATAGGTTATGATTAGAATTGTTAAGATTTACTACTATTATATTATACACTTTAAACGTAATAGTAAATATAGTGTCATATATCTGGTTCCACCCTTGCGTCTGTTATAACTATATTAATATTCTGTGGTAGGAAAAAACAAGTCTTGTAGTTGTGTCCGGGTAAGTATCACGATCTAACAACTCAAGACCGACGGGAAGTACACTTCTGCGTTTCGTCCGGTGAGTGATGTAGCCGGAGCAAATGGTCCATGGGGGTTTTGCAAATGTCCATGGTTGGCGGTTATCATTTAACATCAGGTGAAGCGCCAGCTCGCTTGCTACCGTCTCACATAAACAAAAAAATATTAATAATAAATAAAAATTAACCAATAACAATGAACGATAAGATCACATTATATCGTTTATTCTTCAGTATAAGTCATATTTATAAGCTTTGAAATTCCTGAACATACAGTTCAGGAATTATTGTTCGAACCATATCAAATTTAAATATGTAATGTTCACGTAAAAAAAATTAATAAACAAGGCAAATCATATTTTTTTTTACATTCTTTTAAGATAAGTACCTGATCAAATGAAAATAAAAAAGTAAATCATATTTTTTTACATTAAAATTTTTAATCGTAAAATTTCGCACCCATAAAGCCATGTTCCCGCGCATTTTTGACATACGCTTCTCGTGTCGATTCAGCGGCTTCAGCGAGCGCTGCGGCGTGCGCTCGCGGCACGCCAAGCACAAGCAGGTCGCGCGCCAATTGAACGCCGCTGCACGCGCAGCGATGAGCTTGCTTCAAGGTCCAACGCAGAACGGCGGCGGCTCTAGCACATTCCTCGCGTGACGCTACAGAATTTTATGCGAAACATATTTGAGTACACTTGTTATTAGGGAGGAAAAACTACTTAGTACTAATAAAATTAAAAACTCCTAGCCTAGATTTGCTAGCCTAACGGCCTATTTAGTCTTCAGAAGAAATATACAAGTAGGTCACAGTTCAGGTCTTCTAAAAAAGGTAAAATGTATTTATAATTTTGCGTTTCAACCAGTGTAAGCCCTCTGACTCAATTGCCATGTCTTTAGAAGAATTAAAAAGAAAAAATCTAATGAACAATAAAAATTAAACAAAATCGTTATTTAAAAAGTTTAATTATGTTTAATATAATTAATTTGTAAATAGTGTAGCTAGGAGTGGCGATCTCTGTATCGTTCAAGTGTTAGGCGGAAAGCGGGTCGAGGGGCAGGGCAGGCCATACATATATTGCCTGAAAGTAAAAACTGGTCGTTTACGATGTCCATGGTTAGCGCCGATGCCATGGGCCGTGCCCTAAGTATATACTTACATAGGTTGGTCTCTTTCAAGATTTCCATGATGCCGTCGTCCTGTAAAAAAAAGTGTAAAGATTAATTTAATAACCTACATTTGCCAACGATATCCTATTGATATTTTAAATACAAAAATTACACACAGAAAACATCTAGATACGGAATAATTATTTTACGGGGATTACACAGAACTGCATGAGAATCCAATCCACAACCTGCCGACGCCGAAGCCAAAGCCACACAATTGAGTTAACGTAGTTAGAATAGTCAATAAGACTATTATACGTTAACTTAGTTATTTGGCTAATAGTAATAATACGAATATGCATATATCACTATTATCGCACATAATTTTATCAAAACACAATTCATGGAAAAAGAAATTAGGGCATTACGTTTTTTTGTTTTTTTTTCTATCGGGTGGAAATCTTCAAAAGATGTCTTAGATATTCATGTTAGAAATAACAGGGTTGTTGTCAGGGAGACGGATAAATAAACCTTCCCCTATTCCCGCATTATTTTGCAATTGCATTACCTGCTTCCCAAACGTCAAATCACGTTATAATCTGACACCCGATCTTGACGTCGTCGCCACAAATGCAGATATTTGTTTAACTTGATTTAAATTATCTTAAGCCCAGCTTGTAAAAATAAAACCATATATCATACGTGAAACAATAACTGTGCATGGTAGATCTAAAATGGCATGAACTAAGCTTAGGCAAGTAGACATATAAATTCTATTTGTTTAGTATAATATACAATTGAAGATTAATCCGAGTCGGTATCAAGTTTAGATCATTTTATCATATTTTATAAAATTAATAGCTGAGACCCACGACTCAGTTTACGTTGTTTGTTATATTAACAACTACCTACACCGCTGGCCCCTCTCTCCACAGCAAGAAAACAGACATCGCTGAACACGTAAATGTAAAACCGGCCAATTGTGAATCGGATTCGCGCACGAAGGGTTCCGTACCATTATCTATTAAAACGGCAAAAAAATCATCTGTTGTATCGGAGGTCCACTTAATATTTTTTTTATTCTGTTTTTTAGTATTTGTTGTTATAGCCCAACAGAAATACATCTGCGAAAATTTCAATTGTCTTTCTATCACGATTCATGAGGTACAAGCCTGGTGACAGACAGACGGACAGACAGACCGACAGACAGACAGCAGAGTTTAGTAATAGGGCCCGTTTTACCCTTTGGGTACGGAACCCTAAAAATCATCTTTTCTTTGACATTACTCTTGAGGGAGGACAGGAAGTTCTTACAGAAGAGATCTGTGTATAACAATCCAAATATAGCCTTAAATTATTCTAATAAATTAATGCAAGATACACAGATACAAAATAGACAAATGATAAAATTATAGCAATAGGTGTACACAGATAATATTATGAAATGTCATCAGTCTTTCCCGCGCTAACGACAACAAACGGAGATTTTCTTGTGTGGCTCTTTATTGGGTTATTATGTTAAGGCCAAAAGAGAGCTTTCGCCGAGTGGGCGACCAAATGTTATTTGCCACCAGAATGTTTAGAAAGGGCCGAATAATATGGATTTATTATTATTAAATGGATCTATTTTGGCGGATTTCATGACATTCATTAAAGTATTCAAAACGTAAGGAAAAATCAAATTTGATTTTTCCTTACGTTTTGAATACTTTAATGCAAATAAGGGACGGAAAATTATTAAAAGGAGCTACCATTTAGTATAGTAAATCTTTTGCGGCGATATGAGAGATTATTTTTCATCTCTTTTATAAACTATATTAAATAAAGATAAAACAATTTGGTATTTAACGTTTCATTTTATTTACACTGGAACTTAGAATAGAATATAACAGGGCCTCATTTACAAAATTTTTGTGCAAAAACTTTCTTTCTGTTTATCGTATTGAGTATTGAATGACATGAAAAATGGTTTTAAATAGTAAATATTTCATTTGATGTACAGCCAAAATATATCCAGTCTTTCAAGTTATCTTTTTAAAAGTGACAACAAAAGAAAACGATCATATTTTTATGAGTACATGCTAATTAATAAAATAATTTTTTTAACATATGGGGCATTCCACGCGAAGCGGACAGGTAAAAAAAGTTGATGTCTCCGATTTTAGTAATATTTGATTATGTTATACCTATATGTGCCCTCAATCCAGATACAAAATATTTTTTTCAGTATAAAATGTAGTTTACGATTTAGAGAGCTTTAAAAATGTGACTAACCGGCAGGTATGCGCCACTTCGAATCCCATTATCCGGTATTGAAAAGATAAATGGAAATAAATGAAGTAGTCAAGTGTATGCTTAATTTAATGAGCTTTCTAATTGCATTTTTGGATATTAAAAAAAAATATTTTTTTTGGAAAAAAATCATGTTCAAACTTTTTAAACTTGAATTTCACAAAGTTGGACCACTTTAATTTTTTTTATTTTTTTTCTAAAACTAGTGAATAGTGTATAGATAGTCCTTGCCAAGCTGCATAATGGGCCGAGAAGTCCTTTAGGAGCTAGGCCATCTACAGTGTCGAAGGGTAGCGCCGGTGCCCGGATCGCGCCTACTGCCAGTTAACGCGAGATTACAAAAACATCCAACAGAATATTTTGTTTACCTAATCGAGTTTAATAAATAATTTGATCTTACTTAGATGTACTTTAATTTACAATAAAACGACGTTATTATATTTCGATTACTTATAAATGTTTATTAAATAATCTTCATGTTATTTCTGCGTTTTATCATAGTGCCTCCAGCAGTAAAGTACATTATAATTTTATCTTACAAAATAAAATATCTCCATTAGAAACGTTTGATAAACAAATAATACACTTACACTTACAAAATAAAATATCTCCATTGGAACGTTTGAAAATTTTATATGATACGGGCATTTAAGAATAATTTTTCGTAGACGTGTCAAATTTAATTTTTCAGTCTCCTACGCGAGGTAACAATACGTGTTCGCCGTACATACCCAAGTGAAGGTAAAGTCATTGTAAAATACGAATTTCGTTCCTTTTTGAATTATTCAATTGCACAAATATAACAGTGCTATACATTATTCATACTCCAAAGCCAACGAAAGGGAATGCAATATGTAAATTCTTACAGACATACATATCAATATTTACGTGTAAGTATCAGAAGTAAGCGTCGTAGCTAAGCTACGGGCTTTAGTGCCAAGGGTGGTAGATTCGATAACCACCCGAAAGTATACCGGCCCTTTCAATTCAGGTATAACAGCATAATTATGTTTTATTTGGATGTTCGGTTGTAAAAAGAGTCCTGCAACAAGCATGCATTGTTACAAGCTTAAAATGACAAATGCGAAAGTCATTTCTTTCAAAAGCGTGTACGCGTTTCAAGTTAAAACGAATGGATGCAATTGAAGAAAATTTGGAATGACGATATTTGATTTTTAACTAAGATTTTTAGTCCGTATGAAGATAAGCCAGAGCTAGAGCGTCATGCATGAATCCCGCAGCTTGAAATCCTCGGAGCGACGAAAAATCTTTCATCAGTTTTTTACAATTTTTTACACTACATTTTAAGTGCAGAGAATGGGTAAATAAAAATTAATGACCTTTAAAATTAAATATTTACTATGTGAAATTACATACGCGGCAACAAATAGTTGAAATAGTAAAGAGAGATCGACGAGCTCTACGATTAGACAGATTTGACAGCAACGACAGTGTGATGCTTTAATTGGTCACCAACCTAACTGACCTTGTTATTAGGTTCGCTACCCGCACGGACTATAGTATGTTTTTGTATCCAATGATTGATAGTAAAACCCCAAGACTGAACTATCCTAGGGTCCACAAAGAAGTGGTAAGAAACTCGTGATAAAAGTCCTCACCAGCTGTTCCTCCACTACGTGGTGCAGGAGTGTACTGAACAGCTGAGCGGGAAGGCTGCTCGTAGCGTGGAGAGCCGCCAGCACCCATAGGGGACAGTCACCATCAGAGCAGAACTTGAATTTCTAGAAGGAAACCGTTTTAGAATCATCAGATATGCGTTCTTTACAAGCGTTTATAATTATGAGCGATGTATTTATTAATTCTTTTTTTTCTTGTTTAAAAAAATTACCCTTACTATAAGATACCATTATGACGTTGTCATAAGGACGTTTAACATGCATACATTTCACGTAGACTAATACCAAGATCCGAAACAGTTATCTGTGAGCCACACAAGTGGTTGTCCCATGATGGGTTCGAGCCAACGACCCTCAGCGAAGCCAATACCTCGGCAACAGAGTCATCAAAGTACTCATCAATACGGTGATCGTTAAAAAATCCTAAAGCTATTTTACTCAGGGAACTTATTAAAACAAATAAAACAAATTTCAAACTTCGCATACATAGAGATTTTGATATTAGTACAATGTGGAGCAATACATTGTTGACAGATACATCAAGCCGGTCTATTATTGTACTGGTTTAAACTTTTGACCTTTATAGAATTTCTTGGGTTATATTTGACGGAACGAACGTTCCATTTCCTCTCTGTATGAAAGGCGAAACTGTGGAGGCGTGCAGAATCGTTGAGAGATGATGGGTATGGACTCGCAGTTGATGCAAATAACTAACCATTTCTCGTATTGACGATCCTGTCGACCAACGACCTGAAATGAATACATGTGTTGCGTTATAAAATTAGCATGGGAATTATATAATACGGCTTAGAATAGGGAGTGAACTGTTGGATATACGTATCATGAATCTTTATGTTGCCAAGTATCGAGCGGCAATACTTCGTCCGTTTGTCCAAACGGTTTGCATTAAGTATTACGTGTTTATTCACAAACTTAAATATGAATATAGGATTGTAGTATATTGATTTAAATCGGTCGCATAAAGCTTTGAATATGTAATTCTTCTGTGTGTGGGTACGTGGCTGAACTCCTCCTAAATTTGATGAATTTTTTTATGTATGTTTAATTGAACTAGAGACATTAACGACAGTCAGATAAAAAAATAAACCAAGTACAATTAGTTAATCATTTAATGTTAGCAAAACACGATCCGAAAATACAGCTGGTGTAACAATGATTTTTTCATGCCTTGCCCATCCTAAATACCACAAAATAGTAATAATATGTGCAAATGCAAAGCATCCAAACTACAGGCTTGCAGAAATGCAGTTGCACCAATAACCTAAGAAATATTAAGTCTTTCGGTTAGTTTTGAGTTGAAGGGTGCTCATCTTACAATAGTATTCCCCTCTAGATGAATGTCGTGATTTAACCCGACTTTTAAGATGAACTGGATCATAAGTTTTATGCTTGGCCGCTATTTATACTAATAAAAATGGTAGGTCAGTCTTCATACAAAAATATATAAACCCCTTTGTAAAACATATCACTTACCGTATTTTATGAAAATAAAAGTGCGCAAGACAAAATATTCCATACCTTATTGACAAAAGTCATATTTTATTACAAGTATAAAAATGTGTACGTGTTGTTTATGTGTTTGATAAAATTGAAAGGTATGCAAAATGTCGATAAATACAATCAACAACAATTATCGACATAGTCCCAGACCTATTTATCCGACAGCTGTGCTATATTTTACAAGCTATAGCTACTGACCTCATGTTAATGCGTTCGATTAGCAAATCCAACCGTGCTGAATTTACTGAAATTCAAAACGGGCGCAAGTGTGCAGAAAACATGGTAATCGGTAACAGCTCATATAAGTAATGAAAAAAGGGCTAAGTGCGAGTAGGATCGCACACGAAGGGTTCCGTACCATTATCTATAAAAAGGGCAAAAAAAAAACAAATCTGTTGTATGGTAGCCCCACAGAGACAGACAGACAGCGGAGTCTCAGTAATAGGGTCCCGCTTTACTCTTTGGGTACGGAACCCTGATAATAATGTTTTAGTTAAGCCTCAGGCGAGCATATTCTAGTTATTTGAATTTATCTATCATAACATTCATCATTTACTATTGATATTATTGACTGGCAACATTAAAGGAATAGGTTTTATCATAGTCAATGGATAAAAAATGTTCTTGAACATAAAAAATCAATGGAATTTCTTTTTTTTCCATTATTTTTTCCAGCGACTGCTATGAAACACAAATAACTGTTTAAAATTAAACTGTGTAATTTAATTAAATTGTTAAATATGATCTTAAGTTTGGACAGCCTGGCGCAAATTTCGGATACGTCCTTTAATAGTTTATGAACGTTTAGTTTAACGGAATCGAGGCGAAAGTCCGATAAAAAACGAATTAAAATAATGAAAAGTAAGCCAACATATTCAGTAATTTGTTGCATAGTAACAGGTGTTTGTTGCATAGGTCCAGACCGAGCCGGATTTAGGGGAGGACAACCGGGGATACAGCCCCGGGGCCCCCACAATAGAGACATGGGAAAAAAATTCAAATTCTGACTAGTAAACAACTTTTCCTTTCATATTTTTTTGCGCGTTTTACCTTTGCCTACAGTACTTTACAAATATGATTACATTAAATATTAACAGAAACCAACAGAAAATAATTTGGGGCCAAGGGGCCTCCACTCCTTTGTCGCCCCGAGACCGGCAGACGTATAAATCCTGCCCTGCGTCTAGGATAATTTAAATAATGAAATCTCTTCATTTCAATAATAATAATAATAAATAAATAAATATTTTGGGACACATTTTTACACAACGTTCTCTAGTCCCAAACTAAGCAACGCTTATATTACGGATACTAGATAACTGATTAACTATTAACACCCAGACAACGGAAAAACACAATGTTCATCAGACAATATTTTTTCAGTAGTGGGGATCGAACTCACACCCTCTAGGCAAGGGTGAGGGTCATCCACCAACCCAAGGGTAACCCCAGGGTAACCCACTACCCCAATCGAGTCGTCAAGATACACAATGTGGATTGTTGGTACCGCCAGCTTGAGACCAATGTTTACCCAATCTTATTTTTTGTACGTTTGTTTGTTATGCATAAACTCAAAAAATACCTTACCGATTTTTAAAAATCTTTCATCTATTACACGTTACACCTGTAACAATGTGCTATGTTCGCGTAAATAAATAATAATAATGAATATTTCGGAACGTATTTTACATAATTGCATCCAGTCCTAAACTAAGTAAAGCTATGGGCATCAGGTACATTATACTTTTCTTTTCTAATTAAATAAACGTAATAGATATTAAAATACCCAGACACTATTCAGACACTGCGTTCATCACACAATGTCTTTACCGTAGTGGGGCTCGAACCCACACACTATCGCGCAAAAGAATTAAAGAAGAAAGCAGGCCGTCTACTAAGTTATAAGTTTATCCAAGGAAGCACAAAATAGAATAGGTATTATCAGGGATATCCGAATTGTTTCGTTCTTTAAGAATCGAGATATTAGAAATGTTCGTTCATAAATCTGCATTCAACTTAAATCTATAGACGTACAATGAAAGGAATTACTATTGCGCCTGTGCGCTCAACAATACCGCACTTAGTGCTCAATTTTAAGCCGTAACGAGAGGCCATTCTATTTTTTTAATATCGAAGAATATCGCAGGCAACGGACATTCATACTTGATACCAAATAATGTTTGTATAAGTTATCTGTATAATATATATTAATAAGAATTATCTATAAATTTAGTTGTGATTATATTAGAAGTAAAATCATCATAAAATATTAATGTAATAATTTAAATGGGGATTATCTAAGTGATTAATAAATGATTAATTTGTTTTCTTTGTTATCCCGAAGACGTATTAGGAGTTCTAATTGTATTAATTTTAGAATGATTAAAAAAAAACACGCGATATGAAAATATCGGGTACAAATTGAGTTTGAATTTGTCGTTTTCTAATTTCACAGGTAGATTAGACGAAGGCGTTGATATCATTCACGTCGAAAAAAAATATGGCAACGTCGATATAATGTAACGAGTAAAGCGCTGATAAAATTATCATGCTCTCTCAAGCCTACACACCTTCCCGCGCCGAAATTGCTGAAACCTTTGAACACCTGTACCTTCGTAAGAAGTTTATTTAAAAATAAGGAATTGTAATTTGAGTATTAGGTGTAGCATGATATATCCAATCAACACTGTACAAATTTATAACTATGTAAAATCTTTTTATTTATTTATCTTTTTATTTAGAACACACGATGTTGTGTGCAAATTACGTATTGAGAATACGACAATTTTAATGGATTTTGTCAAATATATTTTGTTGTCAAGAGATCTCCTTAGTTTGTCTGGAAAATAATCGAAACAATAGAAGTTACATTTAAAAATAAGCAGAGTGGTTTTATTAAAATTCAAACTGCAACTGACTAACTGCTACTTATAGTAGGTATTCGGTCTAAAAGATAAAGTCTTTAAAATAAAATAAGTCTTTCTTGAATTCCTCTTACAATTAAAAATGGATTTTGTAGTAATTGACGTCTATCGACTTGTCATTTCAAAACAATGATTGATGCGTTCTCATTGGCGAATTTTGAATTCTGTATGGAGAAATCGGAAGATGTAGGTAAATAAAAAAGGGTGTGTCTTAACTTAAGTCGGGGTTAATGTTAATTTTGTCTGTGACAGGGCAACGCAGGCCTGCAGCTGTTGCACGAATGGGCATGCTCGTGGTTTACATTCTTACGTAAGGTAACAATAAGATAAGATCGCAGAAGACCGGCGTAAAGTGGAAGTATAATACTTTCGCATTTCTTCTGGTGAGTGAAGTGGCCGGAGCCGAATTTTCAAAAGGGTGTCAACGCATCTGGAACCCTCGGGTGTAGCAGATATCCATGGGCGGCGGTATTCACTTAACATCAGGTGACCCGTCTGCTCGCTTGGCTACTTTTCACATAAAAAAAAATATCACATTCGGTACCGTACGTGTGTTTTGACGAAATGTTGTTTTAATGTTGAAGAATAAGCTGTATGGAGAAATCCCAAGCCGTTAAACTATAACAATAAAAATGTATTGTAACTTTGCAGTCTTTTTAAATTTTACTCGGTGACAACACTCACAGGTATATGCTGTATTGCGGTTATCTACGCGTGTTTTTATTCAATCAACTAAAAGCCTCAGCTGCTTGCTGGCAAGAAAATAACACCCAATTGTTTAAAATTTTTCCATTTTATGCGCTCATCTGATAATATAATAAACTTCCAGCACATGTAAAAGTGTGAAAAAGAGAAAGACTTATATTAAGTGTTAATAGCAAACGTTTGACAAGATTGTATATACTATTATTAAATAATGGCAGGGTGATATGGGCATGGTGTACATTCAGAGAAATCAGTACGAGGGCCTTCCGTCTTGTGCTTTCTCAGCTAGTTTAGGGTCTTAACCAATTTCTATCAGACTTGTTCAGATATTTATTTAGATATTTATTTATACATAAATATATACGATATTTTGAATTCACTCTAACAAAACAGATTATTCTGAAGTGTCTCAAATGCGTAAACATTTGAGACACTTCTTAATACCGTAGTGTGAATACTAAAGTACCCTAAGCAGGTAGGGTGGTAGGGCCACACAGCAGCCTCGGCTGTTGCATATATGGGCAGGCCCGTCCGGGTAAGTACCACGACCTCACAGAAGACCGGCGTA